GTTCAGCGACTTTACCGCTCGGCCGCTGGTGGGCTGAAATTAAAGAAAATAATAAATTTTTTTTAACCAAAAGTCTACTTCCTTGTCTTGAATATTTCTAGAGGCTTGGCCTCTAATGGGTAACACAATGTATCTGATCGTGTAGTATACATTAAAAGTAAAAATCTGATGTGTACATTACATGACTTCCTTGCATGGAATATTATATTATACGCATTTTTTTTTCATTTCATTTAAAATTATTTCATCGAATTTCATTAACAATGTATTTCTCATTCAATTAATCCAGTTCTAACCTCACGGCAAAGCAAAAATACATAAACTTCAAAATATATTTATTAAAAATTCAAAAATATAGAAAAATATAAAACAACAAATACATTTAAAGAGTTTAAAAAAAATTTACAATTAAAATTAAAGTTTTTACGCAAAAATAAGCAATTCGGCGAGCGGGGAAGAAGGCAGGTTTTTCGGTGCACAAAACTGAAAGTTTGATTTCGATGCTACTCCTCAAAAAGCCACTGAAGGTGCAGAAACCGACTTAATTCACTATTTTGCAAAGTTTCAAATGTAAACAAATATGGCTGATATAGTAAAAAAATAGGTTTAGTCGCAATTAAACAATTTCTAAGTTGTTGATAATTTTACAGCTATTGTATGCAGATCAACTAAAGGCAGAGTGGCGTAGCGGGGGGGGGCAGGGGGGTGTATGACGCCTTGTGCGCCGCTCGCAGAGGGGCGCCAAGTGGTTTCCAAACAAGATTTTTATCATATCACTGTGTTTTTTTCGGGGAATCGGGGGCGCCAAAAGGGTATTTTGACCCGGGAGTCAGTTATGCTCGCTACAGTAAAAGCGAATGGCTTAGACCTGTCAATTGAAATATAGTTGTCGGCATCGTGAGGTATCAGACTGATAGATCTAAGAGTTCTATTCCAGGAAATTTCCGCTGCTAGCGCTTATTAGCACTTATACCGGTACATTATCTTCAGAAAATAGGGACATAAATTTAGAGATTTGTGCGCGTGTAATAATATGAAATGATTTTCTCATTTTCTTCCTAGACTTGCCAACACGAATGCTTACTTGATGCTTATATGCGATGTTTTAACTGCACTATTGTGGACATTTTCTATCCCAACAATGAAAGATTATGTTCAAAAGGTAAGTAAAGGTTTTTATGGCTTCTTTTGTGCCTTCACCTGACAATTGCATGATTGGGGAATTAAAAGTTTTAGAAATTAATTATAAAAATCCAATTTTCAATGAGTATTTTCACGGTAACTTTCAAATGTTTTTCCAGTTACTGTGAAATTAACTAATGAAAATTTCATTCGAACATCCTAATCGAAAATAAAATAGAGTGAAAATTAAAGGAAGGGGAAAGACTAATAACTAAAGCACTTCAAAGGAATTCAAAAAAAAAAAAAAAAAAAAAAAGGAATTCAGTGGACACTGCACTTGTGAAAAACGTTTTCTAGCAATATATGCATTATTATCATTAGTTGAGAATTTAGCTTAATGTACCTCTGAATACATTTTTCAAAGATAAATTTATATAAGTGTAATATGTACGTGTATGTATGCGTATGTGTAAATTTAGGTGTGTGTAAAATATCCTAACTTTTGAATTAGAACTGAATAATGGTTTTCTTATTACCTCTATTTTTGCATTATACTGCATTAGAAATTGTTGACTGCCATTAAATTAAATGGCATGACTATTTTCAGTTTTAATTCTAAAATTCCTTTGATGTTTGAAAGCCGACAGAAAAACCAGAAAGTGTTTAATTATATTATTTACACTTATATGAAACATAAAATGTACAACAACTAATTATCAAATATACACATATGTATTAGTTATTTTAAATGCATTACACTAAATTACTAATTAGACTATGTCCTACAAGTAAAGGAATGCAAGAATTAATTGCGATCTTCAAAGCACTGGATGTCTATGCAGCAAGTGCTGCGTAATTCTTAGGATATCTATGATTTGAGTTTGACATACAGAGCCCCGCGAAATCAGATAAAACTTAAAACACCCAAAAGAAATTATAATCCACCATTTAAGCCTCATCAAGCTCATTGTTATTGGAGTGGCAGGCTTTGATTAGATTTTGAACAAGATTCGGAATAGAGTAATTTTTTTCCTAATTAATAAAAACCCCTCCAGACCCAGTCAACCAAATCCAGATGGTGACGAATTATCGTCATAATATTTTATGCTAGGCGCATTCGAAAGAATTAATGGAGATTTCGAGCAAGAAAACATGAAAAATTAACTGTGCCATATGTCGAGATTCGAACCACGTATCTTCCGATTTCTTATCTAGCGCTGCTAATTACTTATATAACGAGATTATACACTGTGTAGTGAGGTATTTTATTACGATACGGTCGCTTAAAAAGTAAAAAATTATTTACTTTTTTGCTTATAAGTTAAAATAAGGTAGTTATAAGTTGACTTATAACTACCTTTTTTTTTTCTTAAATGGAATTGTAGGAAAATAATTTAAATAAAGAAGATTATGCCATCCTGCTCTGCTAATTTTATTCAGATTTATAATATTTCTACATATTTATAAATGAGTATTTAGTTCAGGTTCTTTAACGCAAATTATACTTTTACACGATTCATAGGATGTTTTACCCCCCCCCCCCCAAAAAAAATTTTTTTGATGTGTACACCACATGACTTCCTTGTACGGAATATTAAATTGACGCATTTGCCTGCAAATTCATTAAAACGTAAGATGAATTAAATCACTTCTGGGAACCGCATAAACCACAAAGAATAAATGGCTTTAAAAATTCACTATATTTGTTTAACATAGTGACACTCGCGCTAGTTCACTTAACGCGATACATTTATCATTTATAACTTAACTTCTAAAATATCGCATAACTATTGCACAAAGTGTAATTTTGCCGGCTTAGTGGAAGAAGCTTAAAGGCCACCACCAAACGGGCGGTCAAAGCGAAGACATGATGAAAATTTCCTATAATGTGGTGCCATCTGTCGAGTCTAGATTTAACTAGTTCAGTCATCTTACATAAGGAGATGGAAAATTAAACATCCATGCCGTCTACAAGTTAAACTAAGCACAGTGCTAGTTTCAGTTTTTCCGCAGCAGTCTTCTTTTCCTTGAATTGCTCAACAAACGTAAGTAATCTGTTAATAACACCTTTAATTTTATTAAAGTCCATTTCTGAGAGTTCAGGAGAATCTTCCAGTACGTTAGTCACAGGAAAAAAAACTTTCAGTGACGAAACAGCTTTGTTACAGTCCTCGGGCGGCATAGGAGCTTTCCGACCAATAGTACGATTCTCACGAATTTTAGGATAAAATTCACAACCTTTGAAAGATGCCACGTGATTTTTGTCACATCGGACACAAGTGGGTTTGTCATCTTTCGGAAGAGTACATATATACGTGAGATGGCCTTTGCCACAGATTAAACATCTTGGTTGATTATTACGAAAGATTTGTACATGTCCAAAACGTTGACATTTAATACATGTTATGTAGCTGCGATTGCTACGGTATTTTCATTTCATAAATCAGAATGCACAATATTTATACCAGCTGAAAAATTATATAATCGTTGCCACATGTTCTATTCAAATACTGTAATGAATCTAAAACGATGTATAAAATAAATTAAGCAAACAAAACAAACAAACAAAAAAAAAAAAAAAAAAAAAAAAAAAAGAAAGAGACAGCTTTTCAAGACGATCAGTATTCTCATTCAATTAATTGAGTTCTCACTTCGCGACAAGGCGAAAATACATAAAAACTCATATCTATATTAAAAATTACGAAGTAAATCTTAAACACTTATCTCCTCGAGTAAATTCTAGAATGGAATAAGCATGATTTAATTCGCAATAATAAATGAAGGCATTATCTTTGTTGTTGCGAAGTTTAGTTTCTCTAGATTGGCAACAAACCCACTATTCTTTTAAGTTTCAAATGTATACAAACATGGCCACCATGGTAAAAACACATAGGCTGAGCTGCTCTTAAACAACTTTTAAATTGTTGATAATTCTACAAATATTACATGCATATTTACTAAAAGCATAAAAACATTAACCAAATATATTAAAATATTACATGCATATTTACTAAAAGCATAAAAACATTAACCAAATATATTAAAATATTACATGCATATTTACTAAAAGCATAAAAACATTAGCATAAAAACATAACGAAGATTATAACAACATAATTCAATGATTTTTAAATAAAAAAAGCCCAATTTAGAAAAGTATAAAGAAACTGAGATCACTGAGCCGAGTAAGAGAGTGGATATGGCCGATTGCAACCAAAATACGAGGTGCACATCTACATGTTATAGCAGTCCTACGTACAAAATTTCGACGTTCTGAGGCTATTCGTGTTTGAGTTATGCGAGATACGTACGTAGGTATACACAGACGCCAGGAAAAATTCTCTTCAGAATTCATTTTAAATCAGTTTTATAATTTTTTTGGGGGGGAGGAGAGTCCTTTACTCTCTCCTTACGCGCAGATGTTACCCAAAAACATCGTTAAATTGCATTCGATAGCCGTCAAAATGGACATTTTCATTGAAATATGACACCCGTAATGTTTCTCGATTACAATACTTCCTTTTTACTTCGTACAAGGAAGTCAAAAAAGATGATTACTTAATTCCTCAGAATATTCTTACACCAATACACACCCTTAAAATTTGCAGTTCGAACTTTTAATATTTTACTAATGAAATCGAATGACTGCAAAAATAAAATGTCTATATAATAAAGACGTACACGGAATTTTTACAAAGAGATTAATGTTATGATAAAGTTAAATCATTATAAAAGAAATGAAACTAAATGAAGTCAGTTGTACTTTTTAGGGTTATTATTTGAAACTAACTAGTTATTATGATTTAGATCTTTACTGCAACTTCGCCTTTTCGTTTCCTCACCAGAATGTAAATTGGAATAGAAAGTATTTAAGCTGAGGTTTTTGGATTATAAGGCAGAGTGTGTTTCTGCCTCTTGAGACAACGTTACTTTAGTTCTACCATCTCTGATAAGTTTGTAATTATTCGGCTTTGCGTTATTTGCTGCCTACATTTAAACTGAAAAGCCTGTTGGAGTTTTCTGGGCCAATTTAGATTTAAATATAATAGTCTTGACTACTATGTTTTAAAATTTTAATTTGACAGGGCTTTTATTTACATCGCTACGGGCTGTGGTTGATTTTGCTAAGCGCAAGAAGTGCATTTGTGTTCAAGTTATGTTTTGATAAAAATGTTTGTTTAAACCTTTCCAAGTTACAACAGAGACTTGAAAAGGTTTAAGCAAACCATTTTAAGTTTCTATCGGTACTTCCGAAACAGCAATAATTCGCTCTACGTCTGATAGAAGTCTGGATCTAGTTTAATATACTGGTAATAAAAATATCAATAATAAAAATAATAAATATGGTAATAAAAAATTCCGCAATTTAGTAGACGCTTGCGAACTATCCGCTTCGGTAATCGAAACAAAATTTCAGATATTGTTTTTTGAAGGCAAGCGCTCGATATTGCGATTATTTAAAACAAGATAGCTCTCACAGTTACGGCTAAAGTGCAAAAATTCGAAATTTACGAATGGCAACACTCCCACGCAAATCACTCAACACACTGAAAAACCATAAACGGCATTGGAACGTATGACGAAAATAGCGGGCCTAAAGCATTTGCAAACAAGAACATTTTAAAGGACGAATGACAACACAAGAAAGAAGAAGGGGATAAAATATTAAAATTGCACGTTTTTAAAATGCACAACATTTCAAAATAAAGTCGTCTCCCGTAACATTGTAGTTTCGTAGGGTTACAGCCGAAAACATCGCGGCAAAAACATCGCGGACGAAAACGTCGCGAAGAAAACAACGCAAGGCAAAAACGTCGTGCTACAAAACATCGTGGGAGTAAACATCGCAAAGAGAAAACATCGCAGTTCTAAAACATCGCGGTACAAAACATCATCGTCGAAAATAAAGCGGTTCAAAAACTTCGCAGTTTAGAAACATCGTCGTCGAAAATATCGTGGTAAAAAATAAAGTATTTACAAATCATCGCATGACGATAACATCGCAGACATGCTTTTCAGGCTTTAATAACTGTAAATGGATATTCCATATGATTTGTGATCGCAACGAGGGAAAGAAGGATAATTTTACTTTAATATTTTTTATTAACTAATAAATTTTTTGCTGAGAAAATAAGAATGAAACTTAAGCATAGAAAATTAATGCTGCAACTTATAGCACTAATAGAATTTAAACCGACATAGTTAACTAACAAAGGCCATTAATAAATCATTTTTATAAAGTTTTACTGGTAAGTTTTCATGAAAAGTATAATCTATAATTTGCATTAATTTTATGCTTAAGTTCTTCTTACTTTTTCAGCAAAAATTTATTAGTTAATAAAAAATGTGAAAGTAAAAATATCCTTCTTTACATACTGCGCTCACAAAATCAATATGGGAATATCCATTTACAATTATTAAAACCTGAAAAAAAGCATGTCTGCGAAGTTATCGTCATGCGATGATTTGTAGATACTTTATTTTTTACCACGATATTTTAGACGACGATGTTTTTAAATGCGAAGTTTTGAACCGCTTATTTTTCGACGATGTTTGTACCGCGATGTTTTAGAACTGCGATGTTTTCTCTTTGCGATGTTTTCTCCCACGATGTTTTGTAGCACGACGTTTTTGCCTTGCGTTGTTTTCTCCGCGACGTTTTCGTCCGCGATGTTTTTGCCGCGATGTTATCGGCGGACACCGTTTCGTAGCTGTCTCCTAACTGCATTCCGATGGATTTCTGGTTCTGGGGCTATCTGAAATCTAAAGTATACCAAATCCTCGAGATCTATCTGAATTGAGCGATGTCATATAACATGAATTTATGCAGTTATTATTATGTTTTTTTGAATGCGGCGATGAATTTGCGCAGGAAAAAGTAGATGTTGCTGTTCGAAAATTTCTAAATGTTTTCACTGTAACCCTAACTGTGACACCTCTATTGTTTTAAATCATCACAATCTCGAGCACACACCTTCAAATAAAAATACCTGAAATTTCATTTCGATTGGTTAAGTGGATAGGCAATCTAGGGCTTCGTATATCGGGGAAGGTTTTCTATAACCACCGTGTACCTTGCACGGTATCAGCAAGATTAGGCTCTGAACATCTTTGCCATAGGCTGCCAACGTTAGGTTGAATGTTACCTTTTCCAAGTCGATGGACTGGTAGATATTGCCTAAAACCTCCGGCTTCGTTTCTTACTTCCACAAGAAGCCCCAGTCTTAAGAAAGTTTGCAAGTGTAGACCAAAATGCTCCATCTCACTGCTTGCTCCTGGTTTTCTTATCCCCCCCAAATAGGAACCCTTGTACTTCCATACGCATGATATTTTTTGATGCAGTATTTCATTTCTACACATTTCCTCAGTCGCATGTTTTGGCAACGATCGTTAACCTTCTAGTTCGTAAGCTATGATAATCACAACAAAAGTCGGTTAAAATGAACATCTCAAAGATTAAGTCTCACAGCTTTTAGATTCTATTTTGATTGATTTGAACATTACATTTTCTCCGCTTTTCTTAAATCTTACAACCTTTTCAGATAAGACGCAATTGCTTTGTCCCTTGGAAGAAATAAATAAATATCATAAGTGCATCGAAAAATGCAAAGATGATTGTTCGTAAGTATGTCGATTTTTTTCCTTTTCGTACGATTTATACTTGCATATTTTTTTTCTTAACATATATTCACATTTTTCTCCTTTATGTAACATATACAAAAAATAAAATTTATTGCTTGATATTAGACAATTCCAGAGAACTCACATTATAAGTTGCAATAACAAATTTTAAACAAAATGAAAGCAAAACATTTCTGTATATTACGTTTTTCTCCTTACATTAAGGGTTCGCGGATTTCGAGTGAATAACGACAACACTTGATGAAGTGTCAAAACACAGTTTATTAGCCAATATTATTCAAGACAGCTCCAAAGACAAGTTTACAGTCGTCGAAGAACTACTATAAACATGCTGCACAGCTATCAGGCTATAATGGTGAAGGCAGCTGGCAGCTTTCAAGCAAAGCCCCAGACTACAGCTCCCGACTCTGTTAGGTCCTTCTCGGAACTCTTATGAACTCTCGAGACTCTCCACGCTGCAACTTGCGATGCACTCGATGATACACTAGAGTACAACTCCCGACTCGGTTCGGTTATTCTCAGAGCTCAACACTAAAATGAAACTCAACGATACACTAACTCCCTATACACTAAGAGACTCTCTCGATGCACTCGACGACCAACTCGGCCTAGACTTCGAGACACTCCTCACTGACTCGACTAGGCACTCACTGACTGAATGACAACTCGATGGACTCCACACTGTCTGATTCTCCGCGTACCAGCAGGGTTTATATAAATTTTGGCTTGTGTTCGAGAACATTCTGTGCTAAACCAGTAAGAATTCGTTCCAGAAGGTTCACCATCTGTCTATGGCATATCTTCAATTTTGTCGCTAAATGGGCGATTTCTCGCTAAATGTAGCAACCCTGCCTTCTTTCCCATTTTCTGGCAATCTTAAACCTGCTTTGCGGGGAAGCTATCTCACCGCGACTGGACATTTCGTAACATTATGTATTGTAAACTAGAAAATATGAAATGAAGAAATAATACTAATTGAATTAGTTATTATCGTAGGTTAATTCTTAAGATAATACATTATGTTTATATTCTGTTATAAAAGATGAACTTATTTTGAAAACATGCAGATGCTTTAAATAAAGTTCACTGTTAATTAAAAAAATATAGTGATTAGGAAATGAAGGATTAGAACACTTTCTCTACAAGGATTAACTATACTAGGTTATTAAAACATTTTTCTTTAAAAAAAAAAAAAAAAAAAAAAAAAAAAAAAAAAAAAAAAAAAAAAAAAAAAAAACGTTTTCTCTCAAAGACGATTTAGTTGAAATGTATCGTTATGGTATTTACGTTTTGAACTTAAAACTAATCTAACTAAAGTCTTAGCACTTTATTTTGTAACCTGTATTTCAATTACGCTCCCCCCGATGGGAAACTGGTTAGTGACTCTACTACAGTATCGAATGAGATCCCGGGCTCGAATCCCAGAAAAGGCATGGATGTAAATTGTCCGTTCCTTCATAATAGGCAACGGTGGCTTCCCTATTAACTGCCTTCATAATAACGTGTCAACTGTTGCCTGCCTTAGTAGCGCCTATGCCTGGCATTGGGGGGAGGAGTATTTCAGTTGCAAAATCCGTAGGGCATTCAATGAAAACTGTAACAGGTATAATTAAAAATTTACGTATTTAGTTTGATGTATTGTTACTTCAGGCACACTGAATAAATCAATTTAGGGGGGAAGCAGCTTCGTTCTGCCATTACTTATAATATTTTTTTTTTAGAATTTCATAACGAGATTTTATGAAAATACATTTTGAGAGATGTATAGAAATGTATACTGAAACATAAGTTCATATTCTTTCTTCCAATTTATATTTTAGGAAATTTAAATATATCATTGACATTCAAGAAAGATATGAGAGAGAATATGTAAGTAGAGTTTTGCTTAGTAAATATTAATAGGAGTATTCGTAACTAGCAATTTGCTTAAAATTGAAATTTCTATGTTGTTTCAAAAAATTCTAAATGATTTGCCTTAACAATCTTGTATATAAGAACAATTTTATAATTTGACATCTTTTTAAAATAGAATAAACATATAGATAAATTTTCAAGCACTATTCACTGATTAAAAGACAGATCTTTTATACTCTACTTATTGATCATAAGTTAGGTTTCTGATTTTCCTTGTTTATTTTCCTTAAGATATTTTGATACATTCTTCCTATTTTTACAGTTACTTTTTATACTTCAATAAAGAAATAAAAATAAAGCTTTTTAATTTTTTGTATCTTTATTTGCTTTTTTTACCATCTGGTTTTGAAAATACTGTTTATTTCCTGGCATATGGGCAAAGTCAGAAACCTGTAGGTATTGAAAGAAAGATCAAAGTCGAAGCAAAACACACAGAGCGTTTCATAATTAAAATAAATGCTTCTTTTTAGTTTTTAAAAACAACATATTTATTTTTATATAACTTTCATATTTATTTGTTGCATATTACTTGTTTTTACCATAAAATAGTATAACAAAGCTTTTTGAGGAATAACGCAACGAACTTAACGCAACGAATATCATGGAACACCCAAAGCAACAACTTTTTTTAAATCATATTGCCACTCAGAAAATCTTAATAATTATATAAAAACATTAAATTATGTTCCCACTACAAATCCTTTTCACTTGAGTATTAATTTCTTTTCAAGTTTTATTTATACATTCTTTCTTTATGAGGAAACTTATTTTTTTCACACCTGAAAAAAAGTTGTATGTTGCAGTTTTGAAAATCATCTTGAGATTACTTATAAAATTCTAGTATCTTAAAATATGAATAAGAAAAACTATTTTATTTATAGGATTGAAACACGTACAAGAGTATACATTTTAGCTCAATTATTTAATTGCCATATGACAGACTTAAACCAAAACTATTGTGCACATTCTCTTGCTATTTACTGGTATATCTTTTCAACGCGTTTTTTAAATGAATGCAATAATGATGTAAAATTAAAGTATAAGACTTTAAACCAGAGTAGGTTAGTATGGCTTTCCAGACAAGAGTTTATTTCAAAATACCGCTTCACTCAATGATTTTTAACTTTTTTGTTCAAAATGCCTTTAGAGAGTCAAACCTATCCATGGACCACTCAAACAGAACATGCGATTAATTATGAGTGTTTTTGAGTCAATGTTAAGGTCATGTCCATTAAGTTAAAAAACGTAATTTAATTCTTATTTAAGACCAGAAACTAATTTATATAGAAATGTTAAATAATATAAATTTTAAACAACCATATCAATCAATCGTAATTGGTGAGTCTGATTTTAACTTTACCATATCCTAGATTTCAAAATAATTACAAGCGGAAGTTTATTTCTAATTGACATCCAAATAAAACTTTTTCAAACTGAATTCATGTTCTTTCAAATACAATTTTGAGTTATTATCATAGTCACTAAACATATCTCTTGACCTGCAACGGAATACAAAGTTTATGAAGGAAGGAAGTGCTTTCCGATACGAAATGGTGATTTGAAATTAAACTTCGATGGTTCTCTTTTTCATGTATTTAATGACACTAATACAGTTTCCAGTATTATTCAGTAATTACAACCATGGTCTCTGATCTTTTATTTTGAAATATTCTTTGTCATGACGTTTTGACCACGCATGCGCAGTTTAGCCGAGCGGCCTGCAACGCTTTTCTCTCACGTGACTTACTGGAGAAAAGAAGAAACTGTTAGTAGCGAAGTAGTGAAGGTAACACGCTGTACGCCAGCGTAATAATGATAAACACGGTTTCTATTTTTGTGTTAACTTCTTATTTTGTGTGTTAATAAAGTATTCGTGTCGTTAAATGTCTGGTTTTAGGCGATACCCATATTTAGTTCACGTTCCACGTTAGGCAAACATATATCCAGAACCCGCCCAAGAAGCACTATACGATATTCCTCAATGTACAAATTATTATATTTTCTTAAATATCTTACTATGATTTTACAGTTAATGTTGATCATTATGCCTTAAAACTCACTAATCATAAAATTCCGCATTATTGTTTTCTTTGAACAAAGTTTCAACAAGATTATTTTATCAGGTAATTACATGTCGGCAATTCTATTAACTTTCCCAGTCGCTGTTTCCTTTTATACAATGGATAGTTTATTACATCGTATTTCTATACGATCCATAACAACCGCCGTCTTTTCTACACACGCACACTGAGAATATGTGCTTAAATAAAAAGAAAAAATTTGATGTGTACACCACATGACTTCCTTGTACGGAATATTAAATTATATATATTTTTTCTTGCATTTCATTTAAACTTATTGGATTAAATTAAGCCTACTTCGCCGACACCGCATAAACCACAATAGAATAAATGCATTCTTAAAAATTCACTTTGTTTAAGATAACGCTACGTTTACTTAACAGTATTATATTTCGTTCATATTATAATTATATAACAGTTAACTTATATATTTCGTTCATATTATAACTCATAATGCACAAAATTTATGTAATTTAAAGAATAGAATTATCTAATCGTTGCCACATGTTCTATTCAAATACTGTAATAAAACTAGAATGATATATAATAGAAAGAAAGTAAGAAACAAAACAAAAAAAAGGAAAAAACAGTTTTTTCCACAGACGATTGAGTATTTCTTGTTTAATTATTCAGTTCTCACTTCGCGAGAAGGCAAAATACATAAAAAAACTCCAAATATTTATATTAAAAATTACGAAGTAAATCTTAAACACTTATTTCTTCGAAAAAATTCCAGAAAGAATTAAGCATGATTTAATTGGCAATAATAAATGAATGCGTTATCTTTGTTGTTGCGAAGCTAAGTTTCTCTAGATTGGCAACAAATCCACTAGTCTCCTGTTTCAAACGTAAACATCAATGGGCCGCATATAAAAAAAAAAGTTAGCGGCAATTAAAAAAACTTTAAAATTGTTGATAATTCTAAACAATTCCATACAGATTTACTAAAGGCATAAAAACATTAACCGGAAGATAAAAAACAACATAATTCAATCATTTTTAAAGCAAAAAATGTACAATTTACAAAAACATATAAGAGTAAAGAAACTGAGATCACTGAGCCGGGTAATAGAGTGGATATATATATAAATAGATTTATATACGTTTGGTGCAGCCGATTGCAACCAAAATACGAGGTGCACATCTACATGTTATAGCAGTCCTATATACAAAATTTTAACGTTCTGAGGCTATTCCTTTTTGAGTTATGCGAGATACGTACGTTCGTACAGACGCCACGAAAAATTCTCTTCAGAATTAATTTTAAAGCAGTTTTATAATTTTTTTGGAGGAAACGAGTCTTTTATTCTGTCCTTACGTACAGATATCACGCAAAAACATTGTTAAATTGCATTCGATAGCGGTCAAAATGGATATTTTCGTTGAAATATGCTGCCTGAAACTTTTCGCGATTAGAATACTTACTTTTTCTTCGTACAAGGAAGTAAACATGAAGGTCAAAAGAACATAATCCAACTTACGCGCTAAGCTGTAGTAGTTTAGTGGTAATAAAAATAAAAGTCCAAACAAATTCAAGTATAATATTAAATTTGACAAAACAGAGTAAGGAATTGTCACAGAAGTCTTCAAAATTGTTAAATGTAAATAAACGCTACATCAGCTGACTGTAAAATGAGTTCGAACATAAACATCTCTTCCAAAAAAAAAAAAAAAAAAAAAAAAAAAAAAAAACTGAAATGTTTCAGATTTTAAATTACGTCCAAAAGGGCGTTTTTTAACATTTTGTGTGTTACCTTTCTTTATTAAATATCATGGTTCCTCGCACTTAAACCATAAGATCCAGTGAAACAGCAATATCGCAAAATAGTTTTAAAACGAGCATATCTTTAGAATTTCCGATACAGAGACTCACGCGCTGGAGATTTAAAAGTTTTTTCTGCACAACGTTGCCATTGCTCGCTTTGAAATCCTTGAGTTTGTTAATCAAAAATTCGTCAAAGTCATAAAACAAATTCGTCAAATCGATCATAAAACAAATTTCAAATTTCAAATTTGGTCTTCCACATGCTCATATTCGTTGGAGGATTACGTTATTCAAAATTCGATGACTCTATGTACCGTTGTTTTATCACAATACGAGAAATATACATACATTTATGCAGATTTTTCATTATTTAATTTCTTCAAATATAATGCAGGACTCTAACATTTTGTGGCAACAGTTTGAAAAGTGAACCGACATTTATGAGTCCGACGCAAAATGCCAAAACGAAACTAATAGTCCTTCGGGATTCAAATCCCTTTGGACTAAAAAAAAAAAAAAAAAAAAAAAAAGCAAAAGCAAACGTTATTTTACGTTTAAAATTAAAATATAAGTATTTTATAATTATATATTAGTATATTATATTATAGTAGTATTAGTATATTCTATTATATTAGTATAATTATATTAGTATTAATAATAGGTATTTTACATTTAAAATACTAAAAAACAAAGGGAAACGTAAACAGAAATCTACATAAAGGCAACGGATAATTTCTGAATTCATTTTTACAGTCAATGATACAGTGGATGTTTTCATTTAACAAGTATGCAATTTTTGTCCCAATTCATTATTCTGTTATGCCAACTGAAATGATATTTGAACATACTTCGATTTTAATTATATATATATGAATTTTAATAATTAAAGGTGTTCATTTTCTTAATAATGCAATAAATGTGCAATTTCTAAGAACTGAATTCTTTTTTCAGATGAATCCTACGGAAACGATGGAAGAGTCGTAAGTAACTGTTAACTTTAATTATTATTAAACTTCCATCTAATTTCTAAATATGCTGTAAATAAAATATGTAGATTCCAACTTACCTTGGTGTCTGAGAACACAGTTCATGAAATGACTGACACAAGTACATACAGAAGTCCAGTTGACACTTAACCATTTAATGAAGATTATCAACGATTTTCGTTGATAATCCGCAATGGAATGCGGATTATCAATAATACGCAATGGAAATGGAAGACAGGAGAATGAACATTTAATGGAAATTTGGTAAAAGTAAAGAAAAATGAAAAGTTCTCTCACCTTTTTGACATCGTACTACTTCTGGTAATATGCCTTACATATCTTTAATTTTTTTCTTTTTGGTGATAGCAACCTCATTTGTGTTTTTTTTTACAAAAACGTTCCGTCAAACGATGTGCAGCGCCATCTCGAAAGAAGATATCACACAGATGCTCATCCTATTCTGACGGCATTCGTCCTCGCATGCTGGAAATGTGGTCATCATCGTCTGGGGACCTGTAAAATAAAATTTAAAAAAAAGAAAAAAAGAAAGAGGAAAAAAGTATTTAAGCAAAGATTTCTTTGGTTTAAGTTTCGCTGAGAGAAAAGCGAAGGTCATCGTCGTGGGATCTCTTCTTCACCGTCGCCAGAATAGTCCATCTGAATTTTTCGTCGTACATGCGTCTTCTTAAACTTCGTCTGAATACGTCTTCTAAAATCTTCTTAAACAACATCTTCCTTAAGCCGTCTTCTTAACCACATTTCATCTTTAAACATCATTTTCATTCTTCTTAAAACAATAGCCTTTTATAGCTTTTTAGTCAAATCGGGAGAAATTTATCAATTTTTGATAAAGTCTAAATCAGGAATCCTCAAAATCGGTGTTGTACTATCAGAGATCATCTGACCGTGGTCTCAGGTATTCAGCAGAGTTCTTCAAAGGTCCTTCGGTAAATCCAACCTTCTCTACGTCATACGTGTCATTAGGGTTCACTCTGATGATTTTGCATGAGCCTAAAAATTTGGGTTTTAGCTTTCTACCTGGCCATTGATACATAAAAATTAGCGGAAATTCAATCTAATGTTTTTTAATAATAATGCAGGTAGAAAAGTTTTATATATCAGAAAATCCGTTGCAAACATTATACCTGTTCAGGGTTTAAGAATTTTTTTATACGTTACAAATAGTACAATGAAACTCTAACTGTCCAAAGTGGAGACCACACATAGCCCAGTCGGATATTCGAAAATCATGTACACTTGAGTTGCATTTCTTCTGTAAATTAAATACATATTTTCCGTAATTACCTTTTTCTGGAAACACTTTTGCTCACTTTCAAATTTCAGAATGTTGCATAGAAGGAACGGTCATCGTATGACCTTCCCATGGTCACTGATAATGGAAGTTGATTCCTCATTTTATGATGATTAACACAAGCAGATTTAACACTATATAACTTATCCTTTGAAGATAAATTAAGGAGGACAATTTCGTACATGACCCTTCACCCACATACATTACCAATAATTCTTGTAACGACCAAAGAAAGAAGAAATGCTGTTGCAATGATTAGCGACAGAGGAATGCCTTAAAAACAGATACCGAAAATCGATTACGTAGTACCTGATCTCTGCAGAGGTAAACAATACATGCCCAGGCCTCCACTTACAATAGGGTTTCCGATAAAATCCTTTAATATTTAAAAAGCATATCAAATTTTATGTATCATTTTCAGTTTGAGGCTTACAAATGCAAAAATTAGAAGTGGGAATAAAATGCTAAACTTTTTGTTTTAGTTTTGACGCTTTGCCATAAAAATCAGATACAGTGTTTTAGTCTACAGTAAATCAAAAAGTTAATAGTTGCAAAGTTAACTTTTAAGACAGTCAGAACATAAATGCTACGGAATAACCTTTAAGAAGAAATCGTTAAATCATGTTTGAGAGAACGCGAAATTTTAAATTCTGTATTTAATCCGTATATTTGATTATTGAACTGATAAACTAAGTAGTTTCATTAATTTAGTTCTACTAATTCTAAATTACGACTTGCAGTAAATTAATATTCTTTAGTTTCTTCCGTTGTTTTAGCAGTTTCTTTCAGAAAGAAAAAAGATCCTGGTTTAGAAAAAATTATATTTTATACAACACATTCTAAACTAGAAACATGAAAATAAAATATCCAAAAGCATTTACTATTAAGCGTATAATATTTTCAAATTTACGGTATTTGAAATCCCATGGATCATTTAAAATAGCTTTGCGCATTCCTTGCAATGTTTTCAATGTTTCGCAAACATTTAAATACTTGCAATGTTTTTTCAAACATTTAAATTAATAAAAACAGCAGCAAAATCTCAGATTAATTGGCAAGTATCTGCACTTATCGTTCATATAATTTAAAATAATGGTTTCAGTAGAGCATATGACTTTATGTATTCATAGAGCAGAACTTTTCTATTTATACTTATTGTTAATAACATGTAGCATCGTTTAGATCAGTGGCAATGGATTTGCTGCCAAGCAGATGATAACATGCTTTTTATTTGAATCTAAAAATCCAAACATTTCTGGATTTGATGTACATAAGAGATATCTAAGGGAAAAGCTATGTCACTATGCAGAAAGACTTAAAGGGAAATCTGCGATACATGTATTTAAAATACACAATCAGGAAAATCACAGGAATACTCAAGCAGCCAGTCGGCTCTCTGACTTATACCATATTTGAACCCGGATCAAATTATCAGTGTTCAACAATCTTATCCAAATAGTGTTGATATTATCAATTTAACAAGCTTGTTTAACTTGAGATTTTCCTATGTTATTTCTTTTAAACCTTAATAACCCCCATTTAACATGTTTCTTTAAAATAATTTTTAAGCTTACCGCAAAAACTTCTCTCTCTTCTTCTCCTCAAACTATTGCACAGGGAAAGTAAATCTTACTTTCCCTGTGCAATAGTTTGAGGTTTAAGACTTTGGATATTTCTTGGTAAGATTTCTGCTATTGGCAGTACTACTATTTCAGAAGATTTTATTGACTACACAATTTTCCCTAAAATTAGCGTAATTCGGGTGGATTATTGAAAATATTGTTGTTAAAAAAACTAGAAAGAAAGGTTATGATTTTAGAAAAAAATAGTTGTTTTTAATAGATTCTTCCCACCTGCTCTTGTCTTTATTCTTTTAAAATCAATGAATTTTGAAACGCAGTGGCATAAATAAGGGTATGCAAGGAATGCCGTCGCATAGGGGGCCGAAGGCTTAGGGGGCCTTTAAATGTCCTGCTGAACTACATTTACATGTTTAAACTTAAAAGACGGATTCCATTACATATATATAGAAGCTTTAATTCATTTTCCCTTGATTAGTTCGGAATTAGAATTTCAATAAAAGAAGATTAATTATTATTTTTATATTCTTTATCTTGTATTTTATTTTCCTTTTGCTTTTCATTTTTATTTTTAGAATTTGTACTACTATAAATTCTTATTTTAATTTTAATATGTTTTGATTTTATGTTAAACCCCTTTTGCACGATTGTTAATATTAATATAGTTGAGGAATAGCCTTCATTTGATTCCAATTTACTTTTAGCTTTAGAATCCTTAAGTATATGTAGATAATAAAATTCGTTTTCTTTTAAGTTTTTAACGGCCTCCTTCCTATATGGTGCAGTAACGCAATTCTCTGTATGGCGCAGATAGGAGGCCCTTGGAAGCACCTGAAACAGCTAAATTCAAGTGTTTGCAAAAGTTAAAATTCTAGCAAAGTAAGCAAAAGTTAAAATTCGACTATGAAATAATAACTTCATGACCTACCCCAGTTTACGGATAGCAGCGAGCGGAAAATAGGAAAAGTTTCTTTGTATTCCTTAGTCTCAAACCTGAAAATTATTAAAGGCGACCCCCTAAAGGAAAGGTTTCTCCTTTTGCAATCCCATATCAAAAAGCGGAGGAAGTGGAAAATAATTATAACTATTTATTATAAAGTACTTATTTTATATATTAATTTGTTTCTGTATAATTCGCATTATCGAATAATCAGTACACATATTTTCTTCCTTTTCTTAAGGCTATATGTCGACATGTTCCTTTTGTTATATAGACTTATTCATTTATTATCAGTATGCATCTCAGTGAAAGGAGAGAAAAATCTGTCTCTCGCACTCACACAAAAAGTGTTAACTGAATTAAAATCATCTGACGCCAAATACCCAGACTAAAGCAAATTTTCATTTCACCAGTTGGTCAAGGGAAATTATTTTCCTTTTTATTCTTTCTTCACGTTACGTACCTTTCAACTAGTTCCCTAAGAACGTGCTTTTATTTTTTAACAATTAATCCAGATGTGATAAAAATCATCATGAAAACATTGGCTCCTGGAATCCTTGATTTTTTTTAATTTTCGCGTTTTTTATTTATTTATTTATTTTAAGTACATTAAATTTATTGGGAAAGGGGCCCACGAAAAGTTTTTTTGCATAGGGGCCCAAGAGTTCTAGTTACGCCACTGTTGAAAGGTAATTTATTAAACGACGCAAAGGGCTAACATTTAACACCATAATTATATATTTCCTGTAAATTTAGTACTGTTTCTTTACATTTTACACCAAATAAATACCAGGCGGTTTCCATTGTGTTTAAACTCTCTCTTTTATTCGTTTTTTTGTCACAAGTATCAATAGTTTTGCGCAATTTATATCAAATTTGATTATTATTTTAGTCATTCAGTCAGCATGTTAGTTGTAAGTTCATCAAAACAATTTCAAATTCATTTTTCCCTCGTGTTATCTGACACGCATGTTCAGTCATTGGAAGTTTTAAGATCTTCACCTTACTAAGAAGTCTAATTTAGAATTAATCTAATTTAGTTTAGTTCTACTAATTTAGAATTAAATTCTTTAATGAATCATTTATGTTTAATTGATGTATAGAAATTAATCATACAATTATCTTCGCTAGCACACAAGCAACAAAAATTTTGATATTAAAAGTTTGATTGTCAGAATTATATAGTCCAGCTTCCTTGTCTTTCTTATCGTACTGAATCATGCTTTTAGCTAATTCCTCAGAGCCGACTCTTTTTCAATAAGGCTTAAAACTTATCGTGTTACTCTCGAAACACACTGTCTCGTATTTTACTTTTTAATATAGCCAATTAATATATTAATGCTGGAGTTACTTTTTACCATGGAAAATTTACGCAATATGAAATACTGCTGAACATTTTTGTCAGGAGTTTCAGGCGGATTTACCAGTGGCATTGAAATTATTCGAAATGATAAGAGATATATTTCTTCAACATAAAAGCTTAGATATTTCGATTAGTTCTCAAGAACACTTTCGCTTATTAATGCACTTTTATGTAACATTACATTGCTGATTTTAAAAGCAAAATTATCTGGTTTTATTATTTCTGATATGTTGATTTTGTCTTCTATATTTTTAGTGGCTTTATTAGCGTAGAAATCTATCTAGATGATACTGAAATTATTCGTCTTCAACACAGGCCGCAGTACAGGGTAAGGTAGATTTGGTTATATTAAAAAAAATTTTTTTTTCAGTAGTATTAACGTAAACTTCTATTATTATAATAATCAGAAAAGCAGAGATTTCAATAGGAGATTGGGGTTTCTGTAATTAATTATGTGATATAGAAGTTGTCAAAAAAGTGATAAACTAAGCAAGATACTGCATAAATATATTTTACGAGTAAAGTCAATATCTTTCTTTTAAATTTGATTTTAATAACTCAAAATTTTAGCATTAATTTCGACTTCAGGATTTACCTGCATGAAATAATCTCCTTCTTATTTCTATTATGATTTCATACTGAATAAAATCAAATACAATGCATACAAAGTATATTCATATGAGAACAGCATTGATTGATGATTGACAAGCGAATCCTTTACGTCCGGCTAAACAAGAGTGCATAGATCAAAGCATGTCCCACAAAATGAACTCTAGCTCACGTTTCGAGAAAAAAAAATCAATAACTATATTTCATCAGAAATAGCTTTTTTGACTGTTCCCGAATCCATTTGGACTATTTTTTTCCATGAAATATGTTCGTACGATCAGAATAAAGGACTCTTTTACCTCAAACGGATTGTAAAGTGTATTCAAAAGTAATTATTTTGTGACGTCTGTGAACAGGATATGTTTATACTGCATAACAATACAGTAATTTTCATTCTTGTTTTTCATCTCTAAAACAAAAATAATTACATTTTACATAGTGCCATTCTGTGCGAAATGTGTAAAATTAAAATTACTGTTGTAAGAGAAGCATAATTATGTACCCAATCCTTGTAATGTTTATTACAAACTACAACCCTTCTCAAAAGGAATTAAAATTTTATGAAAGCAATTTGTACATCAGAATTGTAAAATTTAATGCATTTTAATTAGCTGAAAAAGAAATTGAAATTAAAATATTCATTATGCTTTAATAAAATTATAAGGTTTTTCTTCCGCCTTATTAGCATGCCTTAGTAGTGTAGTGGTCTGCACGCTGCGCGCAGATATTATAGAGGTACGAGGTTTGATTTCCGAGGAAGGCTTTGCTCATTTTTCACTTCTCTTGCTTCCAAAAAATACCTGGTGTCGAACTAAAAGTCTCCAAATCGACGGCCGAACTAAAAGGATGGTGGATGATGATTCTCCACACCCAGGATTTGGCGACTAAGTCCTCTAAAAATCCCAGTCGCCCTTTGAAAGGGGGAGTATATAAGGTATTTCTCCCGCCTTCCTAGCGTGCCTTTGTAGTGTAGTGGTTTGAACGCTGGGCCCGTATTGCAGAGGTCCGTGGTTCGATTCCCGGCGAGGGTGTTTGTCAGTTTTCATTTCCTCTGCTTTTAAAATACATAATGACTACAAAATAAGTTAGTAAAATGTCCATACTTTAAAGTGAAAAATTTTGTAAAAAGACGCTTAATTTATATTTCCTTGCAGCGGGTTCCTAAGTTAATTATGAAGGATGGTTGGTCTAGTACTGAATCATTATTCGTCGAAATAAACTATTTTATTTTGTTGCTGCTGTATAAATATATTTCAGATTTCTTGATTTGTGTGAATATCAAGGGTGATAAAATGAAATGCATAAAAAAATCTGCTTTAGGACATCTCTAAGAATTAATTTCTATTTTTTTGGAACTGTCATTCTTAGTTTTATAAGAAGCATTATATAAAAATATATAATTCAGAAACAATTTTAATAAAATTAAATTTTTTTAGGCTGTTAAAAATACTTGATGACAAAAATATGTTTTTGACAAAAATATGCGTTTGATAGAAATACGTGTTCTTTACATATGACAAATATTACATCTTGATGAATTTTATGTATAGAATATGTGTTTCGAGATTTTGTAATAATAGCTTTTTAATTTTTTAATATCTGATAGTCAATTTAGTATTTGCTAATTATGTAATAGAATATTAATCTTATAATAATGCATAATTCTTTTATGCAAAGCATTTATAATATAACAAAGGTTTTATGTCCTCATTAGTGCATAATATTGCAGCTTTGTTCTTTATTATACCCAAATTTCAGTAAATAAACGTTCTGTATGCTTGAATTTCTCTCATTATTATTTAAAAAAAAATTATCTCTATATTTAAAAAAATTAGAAGAAGAGTAATGGGAAATCTGAGAAACAATGAATACTTTAGCTTTATTTAAGAAATAATTAATTTATTAAATTTTATTTAAGAAAATTTGATGTATTTAATTTCTTTTTTCAGGATGTGGAACTCTTCAGTCACATCGGTGGCTTCATTGGAGTTTGGCTTGGGGTTTCGTTAGTTTCGGTGATGGATCTACTTGAAGCTTTGTGCCGTATATTTACTTACGTGTTTAGAAAACGAAATCAATCATAAACTTACCGTGTTTTAACAGTTGAGATTATCATAAACTTAAGCAAGGATCTCTTCTTGTCTCATAAAATAATTTACTCTGAAACTGAAACGTTCGCATGCTTGAACAGGAATACTATTGATTTTCGAAATAATAAATATCAGTTTCTTCTTCTAATGATAAAGTTTAATATTATTAAACAACTCTTCTTATTATTCCCTCTTCTTTCTTTTTCTCCTCCTTCGATCTCTTCTTCTTCAGTTTTTCTTATTAAATGTTTGAATTTTTGACACTAATTACAGTAGATTCAATGCATATGCAAATATTTTATGTAGAATAAAATACAGGCATTTATTAAGACTGCTTATATGCCCTTTTGCAGTTCACGAATAAAATAATTTTTTTCTTTGCATATTAAATGTTCACCTTCTGGCTGATATATATTACATATTGTAATTGAAAAATTCATTCTCTTTGTTAAACTATGTGTGAGTTTAATGTTAATGTGCACTATATCTCAGACAATTTGCTGTAGATTTATCTATCTTCATTTTTACTTTATGATGTACTGAAACAAGTTTAATATGTGTATGAATCTGAAATAAAACATTAACTTAATCGATCGATCGTAATTATTTAAATTACAAGAACTTTTTGACCCATGATATATTTATACGTTACGAAACCTTTAGACATTCGTAGCTAAAGCTTCAGTTTATAAATGGATACATCTTACAATAAATCATTTTCTACATAGAACCTTAAGACATTAATTTCTTTTAGTTTGAGACAAGGCTTCTTAATTTTTAAAAGTGCAATAACGGATGTTTATCCTTTTTATTTCGGATAATTAACTATTGTAATATGTTAGCCCATTTGTTTTTGGCATTTTAGCTTTATTATTAAGCACCGTTCTTCGCATTTATGATAGACAGATTTCAACAACAACAAAAATATCACAAAATTTTGAAAAGCTTCATAGCAGTAGTGTTAAGTGTTGGCATACATTTATAAATCCTTTTCGTATCATTTTACATAATTAAATATCAGTTTCTTTTTCTAGTGATAAAGTTTAATATTATTAAAGAACTTTTCTTATTATTCTCTCTTCTTTGGTTCTCTCCTCCTTCGATCTCTTCTTCTTCAGTTTTTCTTATTGGACGTTTGAATTTTGACATTAATTACGGTAGATTCAATGCAGGCAAATATTTATTAGAATAAAATACATTCATTAAGAGTACTTTGCCCTTTCCAGTTGCTAATAAAATATTTTTATTTGCATATTAATGTAACCTTCTGGCTGAAGATATACATATCGGATTGAAAATTCTTCCTTGTTAAACTATGTGTAGTTAACGTTAGTGCGGTAGATTCAACAATTTGCTGTCTATTTACTATCTTCATTTACTTTCTGATGTACGAACAAGTTTAATATGTGTATGAATTTGAAATAAAACGGATGTTTTATTCTTTTTATTAGATATCAACTATTGTATTAATGTTACCTATTTTGTCATTTAGTAGATTATTAAGACCGTTTTTGAATTATGAAGAAGATTTCAACACAACAAAATATCACAAAAATTTGAAAGTCATAGCAGTATGTTAGTGTGGCAGACATTTATAATCTTTTGTATCATTTTACTATTAAATATCAATTCTTCTTCTAGTGATATTTATATTATAAAGACTCTTGATACCCTCTTTCCGTCAGGGTCCACACGCCGAGCGTAAGTCGCTGAACACTGGTAATTCGGTACGATGTTCATCCGCGAACGGGATTGCTGATGGGAGTTTTCGTGGTTTTCCCATTTAACGTGTTAAGAGCAGTTTCCCTTAGAAAGTCCTCACGAGGTATCTCCTCCTTAGGCGATAGCCCTCGAGCTTTCCATAATTACACACACACACACATTACACTCTCTCGATCCTTATTCTCAGTTTTCTTATGGATGTTTGAATGTTACCTAATTACGGGATTCATGCATAGCAAATATTTAGTAGAAAAAATACATCATTAAGACTAATGATATGCCCTTTCCAGTTACTAATAAAATATTTTTCTTTGCATATAAAGTTCACCTTTGGGCTGATTATATAATATTGTAATTGAAAATTCATTCCATTTGTTAAACTAGTGTTATTTAATGTTCGTGCACTACATCTCTGACAATTGCGTAGATTTCCTATATTCATTTTTATTCTTTATAGTACTGAACAAGTTTAATATGTGTATTAATTGAAATAAACGGATGTTTTATTCTTTTTATTTCGGATAATCAACTATTGTAAGAATGTTAACCCATTTTTGTCATTTTAGTTTTATTATTAAGCACCGTTTTTTGCATTTATGATAGACAGATTTCAACAACAACAAAAATATCACAAAACCTTGAAAAGCTGCATAGCAGTAGTGTTAAGTGTTGGCATACATTTATAAGTTTTTTTCGTATCATTTTACATTTTTCTTAGTAAGATGTCTAGTAAACATTTATTATTGTCTTTTTATTATTAGCTTTTTGTGTGTTAACTTTATTTATTAAACATCATGTTTTACGCACTAACGCCACATAAAATTCAACTGAACACAAAAATTACAAAATATTTAAAAATAGCATATCGTTAGAATTTCCTAAAAGTGTTAAAGGTTGCCATACATATATTATTTTCGCTACATTGTTTTTTGAAAAGCTAGACCCTTGCACAACAAACCGCCTAAAATATTTAAAAATGTGTATAATGCTTTTAAAGATTCGAACTGGTATAATTTTATGAAAAATATTGAACTTCTCTAATTATACATCTCATAATTAAGGCACAATAAAACGCCGAATAAATACTAATTCAGAAGCCAAACAACAAAAATCCGCGTTATATTTTCAAATTTTCACAGAACTAGTTTCGATGGTTTTACCGAATCATCATCCTCAGCTGCAAAAGCGCAAATAAAAATATAACGTTGATTTTGTTGTTTGACTTCTGAATTTGATATCTCATTTTAACACATATTTATTAAATCAATTGCATTAAAATGTAGAAAACGAAATGCTTAAGAACTGTGTTTGTTGCTTTTAAATCGCTATAGATTCATTAGAGAAATATAAGAAGAGTTAATCAATTAAAACACCAAAATTTACTTAAAATATTCCACTGTAATTAAATTTTATGAAGTTTTGAGAAAAGCACTGAAAATGAATTCAGTTGCATATTTTATCCGAATACATATCTCATCCAGCCAAAACTGTATGTGATAATGTACTTTAGCTTGCTTTATTTTAAGTTACAGAATGCAAGAGCTGTGAAAGTTAAATGAATTCGACAATAGTTCCAAGTACTACCCTTCCAAGTTCAATTTTTAATTTGAGCTTTACTGAATTGGAGTAGAAGATGCATGTGTTTTATTTCCGGCCACGGCAGCACATGGCTCTCATACAGCCGAATGTGTTCATAAAAGTTCAAAGATTACCTTACATTTTTCCTGACAACTCTGTTTAAGGACGGAGCCTGATCAGCAACTCATGATTCTAACTTTATTAGATCACTAGTTTCGGTTTTTATCATAGATACAATGTAAGTGATATACCCAACATCAGTTGGGATACCCAAACGAAAGTTCGGTTCTATTTTTTTTAGGTAGAGATAATTTTTGTTTTAATGATAGTGCGCTTTAAGCTCAATATTATTGCGCATTTTGGTTTTTTAATAAACACTCAGTAAAAACGAAAACCAAAAAGGTACTCCTGTTCTACTATACGTACAAGTTTATTAGTTAAAAGATTGTAAAGTCTATGACTTTTTCGGGAACATAAACGTTTATAAGGACTTTTGAAGACTTATCTTTTAGCCTTGGTGAAACTCAAACAGAGATCAGAAGAAGAGAGTATAAAATCCTTTTATTAAAGCATAAAATTAACAAATGTCCCAACTTGGGTTACAGGAAGCCAACACTTTTGGCTTAACAGAAATAAGTAACAATTAATAGTTTCAGGGTATGGTAGGTTAGCTTAACGGTTCACAGAATGCTTTAATGCGTAGGGTCTATAGTAACCGGCGAGAGAAGTCTAAAGGCGAGAATACGCTAACACAAGTTTCTAACAATCAGAACACAATGTTGTCTGGAATAGGCAGACACGCTTTAAAACTAACTTCCGAAACTCTTGCTTAAATAGCCCTTCATTCTACCTTAATCTGAATAAATCCTCGCTACCTCATTTACATTCTGGCATGAAAAGCGTGGGTGAAAGGAGAGTGATAGGAAAGGCTTTTGAACAAAAATGAACTATTAGTTAAAAATAAATAGTTAAACCTCAAAAAGTCATTAAAAGTTTACAAAATATGCAATAAATAACAATGAAACAAATTGGAAATTAAAAATTCGGCTTTCTAGGTACTTATGTTCGGGTGGAAGACTACGTTATTCAAAGTTCGATGGCTCTAGATACCGCCCTTTTATCATAATACGAAGAACATAAATATATACATGCAGATTCTCTGTTATTTAACTTCTTTAAAAATAATGCAGGGCGATATTGGTGGTAACAATTTGAAAAATGATACGCCGTTTATAATGGACCAACGTTTTGAGACCAATAGCCGCTTTTGAACTAATAAAATTGCCAAGGATATAAAAGAAATATACGATTTAAGGTGTCAAGTCTGAAGAACTTAATGCTCCAAAGTTTCCAATTAGTCGTAGAATATTTTGAGACAAATTTACGAACTATGTGCAATAGATTCAATAGGAGTGTTGAAACTCTCACCGACAACCACGTGATTTGCGCATGCGCGCAGCAAAAACTAAATCAGAACTTTTTAGTTGAACTTTGAGAACTCGTGATGGACGTTTGAGTGAAACATGTTAATCCTATTCTTCTGTCTTAATAATATTTTTAGTTTAGTGCTGTGATGTAAATTAAATCTTATTATTTTAGAAGCCTCCTTTTTGTGAGTAGTGTGTGTGTAGATGACTTAGGAAAAATACTCTCGGATATGCTTTGGAGAAGAAAGAAGATCGCCTAAAAGGTAAGCCTTTTTACCTTTTATTTTCTAAGAAGTTTTATGATTATACAAGGAGAAATTGAATTTTAGCGGTGGCTTGTTAACTAATTCTTGCTTTCACAAAGAAAAAGTAAGTTTAAACCAATCTTATTTTAAAAATAAGAAAACCCAGGTACAGCAAAACGGTGTGACAGGTTCATTTTCATTAAACTGCTTGTTTTACTTCTCTTCATGAATAAAAGATACGATTTCAAAAACAACTAATTGTTCATAATTTTTCCATATGAATTGTTCATCATAGTGTTGTGTTTCATTTGAATTGTGCTAGAGTAATTAGCATTGTTTGAACTGACTTAATTTTCTCTTTAAGAATCCACGTTTTGTAATATTCGGTAAGGCATTAGTATATGAATTTTTTACCAATTTACATTGGGAATTTCTTCAGCTTTTGTGATTAAAATCCAAGGTCAGTATCAATTAATAGATCCGCAGTTTTGATCTCTGATCCTTATTCACCGCTGAGTTGAGTAACCAGTTACTTCAGAGCTAATAACAAGCCCCAACAGCTTTAACGGCAGATTTGTGATAACATTTTGAAATTAATCACTGCTAAGAAAGACTCCCCAAATTAAACTGCAAATAAAAAACTTTTATCACTCGTAAAATTGCAAAGCTATGCAGTATCCTAGCAAAACAAGAAATCTATATTGCCATTTTAAAAGGTCAAGTTTCCGCAATAACGTTCTCCTTGGCCTCACGGGCAGTAGCTCCAGAAAACTTGCTCAGGTTCTTTCTTCTTCGAGCACTCGAAAGTCTTATACAATTCCTTCAGCTTAACCTCAGGCAACAGAAGACGGCGCTGATAAGACTCCCTTCGTTACGGTTAAAATAATGGAAGATGTCTACAGCCTCCTGAGAAAAATTGGCAGGTCGCTGTCCTAGTGGCTCTTCAAACAGCATAAAAACTATACTATCTACAGAGCTGAGGGAAGTACAAACTTCGATTCCAATACAACAGATTCGGCAGAGCAAAATAAGGAATTGTTGATTCCCTATCATTAAAAGGCGCAATTGGAAACTCTTTACGCCAGCATCACTGCGAAGAAACTCCTCTCCAATTCTTAAAGGTGCGAAAGCCTAGATCTCGTAAACAACCCATAATTATCTTCTGTATTCCTGACTGCATTAAATCAGAAGTTGCAGTCATCAACAATAGCTTTCAATCAATCTCGACAGTGGATATCTTACCAAGGTGACCCTTGCAAAGATCAGATCAGCAAAATGATTGGATCGCTAATCTAGACGTTAACTACGCTAAGAAATTAGGTTCTAATGGGTGATATATATTGGCTTTATTTACCGTCTTTATCGACATTACATTTCAGTTAGCCTTTGCTTTGGCTGGTAGGGAGTAGGACACGAAACAATTACTACAGCTATCAATCCACGTGTATTCAGTGCTCTGGTGGCATTTCACTAAGAATGGTCAGGAAACTGCAAAGTGTTTTAATCACTTCATATCCAGTACTAATCTGGGTACTTACTGACTACGCGACAGATCATCCGGCGAACTCCTGTGCATGTTATACCTACAAGCAGGCTCTGCAAAAATGGATTTAATCTGTAGTATTAACCAGGGCGGAAACGAATTTGTAAATAGCAACAATGCATCCATAGCTCGACAAATGCCGGATCATAATTTTGATGAGGAAAATCTTCAAAATTCAAGATCTGCTACAAGTCGTTTTGTTATGGTATTTTGAACCTTTTACCTTAAATTTTCCAAAAGGGTACCCTACTAATTGACCATAACACTAAAATACTCTTACCACTGAAAAATACTAGTAACAATAAAGTTGAAAATTTTGCGTTGTGTTTCTTCCGGTTTAACCCTTAAATCAATTTGAGTAAAGACTGGTAAAAATCATGAACACACAAAATAAATTTAACCATTGAATGATCTAGAAAAACTTATTTATTTAACTATTAAAGCAAATGACGGATATATCCATTAGTTAAAAAAAATCTAAATGTATTCAACAAAAGTTGTACTATTGTTTTTTCACATCCAACATTTCTGAGTAATTATTTTTTCTTTTTATTTATAACATACTTGTAATTACTATTAAATTAATATTGCAATGGTAAAACATGCCAAAAAAATTATACTATAAATTTAAGAACAGTACCCTCCCCGGGGAGCAAATAATAAATAAATAAAATTTAACAAGTTACACTTTCCACTTCACACCTAATTGCTCAATACAAAAATAATATTTCATAATATTGCACTCAATACCATCATTTAAACACTATTAAAGCTAATTTTTAACCTCTATTTTTTTGATTAATTAAATAAGGTTTTATCCGATAAAGATATGTAGTGACACCTTTACACTTTTACAAACAGGTTCGTACTGAGAGGAGCAAGAATGCTCTAATACAGGCACTATTACTAATCAACCTCACCAATGAGTAATACAAACAAAAATTCAATTAAATAATTCCTGAAGAACTTCTTTCTCAAAACTATTAAGTTAAGTTACCATAATTTTAATAAGGCTATAATTCTTTATTAAATTTAGTACCTTTATTTAATCGATATACCAAGGAAAAATATGATTTCTATAGAGTTAGGATAAAATTATCACTTACAACAATTTAGGTTCAAACAAATTAAATTAATTCAATCTCTTTTTTTTTTTTTTTTTTTTTTTTTGCAGAAATCTATAATACTTGACTAACCAAGCATAAAACAAAAGAAGAAAGGAGAAATGTTCGTCGAATGTATGGAGTCATTGAATTTCTTGTAAATATTGCAGTTCCGGATGGGAAGAATACGAGGAGATTTACGAAGAACTAAGAGGATCAAACGGACAAATCAGTTGATCAGTCCCAAATCAGTGAATCAAATCTGCGCCATCGTTTCAGTGGGAAACGATTTCAAAAATTGCTTAGATTGGCTTTTAGATAGAGTTATTGAATTATTTTCAGTTAAAGAGAGTAAAGTAAAAACTGTGAAACTATAAACACAATGCAGTGTACTAATTTGTCCTATTCAAGGAATGTTTACCATACAGAATCGCAGTTAAAACTTTTTCATATAATCTGTTTTTAGAAAAGTACCTTCTTCAAGCGGGTCCACCAGCGGCAAAGGGGTTAAAGTCGGTGAATACTGGCAATTGGGTCCGAGGTTCGAATCCTGCGAACGGATTGGTTTCATGGGCGTTTTCGTGGTTTTCTTACATGTATAACCTGTATACGAGTCAGTTTCCCTTGGCAAGTCCTTGGCGAAGGAATCCCTCCTTTTAGGCAGATAGTCCTCGAGAGCTTTGCCGTAATCAAATAAACCAACCAAATTTTCTTCAAGTGACTGGCCAGCACAGTTCAGATGATAGCAACTTCAGAAAGTCTCCAGAGATTGTGATTTGTTCTGGTCGGGCTCTCAAGAAACCCCGGGAAATGTATAAGACTTAAACTGAAGTTTTAATCCACTGTTTTGAATAGTTATGCAGTAACTCAAAAAGGGGAAAGATATGTTACAGATTGCATCATTCCACTCGCCAGTCAGAGCGAATCAAAAACTGACGTCGGGTGATGAAATGATACGCTTGAATTCTTACGAATTTAGAGGGCTATATAACTTCGTGGCAATTAGACATAGTAAGAAAATGTCTATGTTCAAATGTAGGTTTCCATGTAGATAAACTGTGTTTTGTTATGCATCATAATTCCCTTCACTTTAGGATTTACTGAGGTAAAATCGTGTAGACATTTTTTACTGTAGTATTATTTCAGAGCTAGCCATTTGCGAAACACTCTATATAAAACTGTTATTGTACTAAATGAACTTCAGAAGCAGTTTGAGGACGTGGCCATATTCCGCAACACCACTGCAAATTTTAAATGTGTGCTGAAATGATATTGTTCGGTTTGTATTATCGATGATGACTTGCATTTCATATATTCAGTTTTTTACGTTAATACACTCTCTACAATTCAAATAGTTCTTAATAATGTTCTGCATATTGCAGTTGTACATCCGAAGCAATGCGCGCATTGATACGTAAGCCTAAGTCATAATATACCGGCTTCATGTTATGGCTTATAAAAGCTTACATTCAAAGACTCTAAAACGTTTATTTTGTATTTTACTTCTCCATTTTCTCATTTTTTATTAATGTAGTTTGTAATCAACGCATTTAGCTTACCAACTTCAGAGTTTAATATACAGAGGTGATATGCATACGATTAAAGTAATTATTTTTAAAATACAAATAATTAGATTACAATTAACGTTTCTATTGAAGGATAAATTTATGTCTTGAATTATTGCTTTCAATTTCAGCTTATTTTCAAATGATAAATGATAAAAAATTGGCAACAGCCTTGAGGACCTTACAGGTGACAGTGCGATTTAGCTCAATTCCGCTCCCAATTTTGATGGAGAACACACGGGTCCAAGGGTCTTCCACCTCTTTTCCTCTACCACCACAACCTCTCGAGAGGATTTTCGGTTCGCCGCATATTAAAGTGCCCCCCGCATGCCGAACGGACACTAGAGATTAACAAACATCCATGCGTTCTCCAGAACTCGAAAACGTGCCCTTCGAACCCCGGCACTGCAGTCAACGACGCGAACCACTATACCGGTTGAGCAGCATTAAGCGTTGTTATACATTTTAAAGTTCTTTAAAAATTGCTGTTCTTGATAAAATATCTTTCAGTTTTGAAATTTTCTTTTGCTTCATATAGTTCTCCCATCGTATCATATCCCATCAATCGTTTTCTTTTTGCACAAAATGCGTAAAACATGAAATCCTAAAAACTGTCCCTATCTCATGCCAAGTATAGTGTAGATAGCAGAAACTCATAAAGCAACTAATAAAATATGAGGCTACAAAGTACATTTTCAGTACGAACAAGGGGAATCACTTTTGCATTAATAATGCTGGGAAATTTCCAACTTCCAGGGAGTTGGTTGACAAACACGCAATTGTTGCACTGCGATGAGAGTTGTCGAAACCTTTTTACGTTTCTCTCTATTAGCAGATAACGTAAACGCCCACAGTGAGCAAAAACAAATAAATAATTCTAACAGAACAAATACATAATATTTTTATTTTGTTACATTGCTTTTAACTATGGTATGTTTGTGCATGGTTATTAAGTAGAGTAGCTCGGATCAGAATAGTATTTGAGTTCTTTTTTCGACTCTGGAGCAATTTCATCAGAAGGAAGCTTTGTGCTCATGTCGTTTTTCCATCTCCGCTGCATCACTACTAGCGAACATTTCTTGTGCTCGAAGATGTCAGTAAGTTCTGATATATAGTTTAATAATTCGTTGACCAAATTTTTGTAATAATGTATCTTTAAACTGCTCCTAACGAATCCTTAAACATCTGTTTCTAATTAATTCAGTATATGTAATTTTTAATGTTTTTATTAAGATAGTTCTGTCTTTTGAAATTACTAGTTTGATCTCGAAATGGTGAACAGTTTTATTTCTCAAAACACTGGAATTAGGTACACTAGCTTTCAGACTTTATTTAAAATTATTTGAAAATTACGTTTGTTTTTCGCCGAAAGTTAGAAATGGTTAAATTCAAGTTTTATTCTTGCTCTTGTCATAGTTCCCAAATAATGCAGTTCAAATATACTCTGAAAGATTTCGTAACATCGCATTTCCTTTTGAGTTTAATATTTCCTTTGTTAATTACATCTAGTTAAAATGCTGCATCATCGTCAAAACGTTCTAGTGTACTTGATAAAATAATGAAGAATAGTTTTGCTTGTATATATTAGATGGCAAAAGTTATTACTACATAGCTTCAGACACATATTAGTATGCTGAAATGGATCGCTGATCTTCATTTGAGCATATTTTTTAATCCAATTCTTTATGTATCCTTCAACCGTAATTTCAATTTTCATCCAGCTGAAGGGATTATTAAAATATACAGTGCTGTCACTTTTCATTTCACTGTATAAGATTCAAGCTAAGTTGGTTGCCTTTGGCAACTGGAATACTTGAGAAGTGTGTAGCGACTAATCGCTTACTTCTAAGGCTTACTTACTTACTTACTTACCACCAGCTGAGTTGCTGTACCACCTGTTTTATGACTATCAGCATTTGTACTCAATTGGTAGAGCATTCTGTTGTCGCTGGGCCCAGCCAAAAATTTCTATCGAATATTGATGATGATGATGTCGTGTCTATGACAAAGTACAATTATATAGCTTCGAAGCTGTCAAAGACAGCTTTTACAACCTCGGCAGCTCTATCAGTCTAAAGTAGGTCCACTGGGTCTTCAATGCCGATGTTAAACAATCTGGCCTGGATTGCTGGGCAGCTGAAGATGTGATGGCGAGACAGTGGGATGTCATCTGGGCAATGAGGACAAATTTTGGTGTAACTACGCTGTCCGTCTGCAGAAATCCTCATCCCTTTTAAGTGATTTGTCCTAAGTCTAGTTATGATAGTCGATATGGCTCTGTCGCAGTTCAATTCCGGGATGAAGTTTCCTTTAACTTGACCGATTAGTCTTTGGCTGGCAACTGCATTGGCATCAACGAGGGTTAGGCAGTTAGCTGGCTGAGGAGAATCACGGGATGCCTTTGCAAGCTCATGGGCCTTCTCATTACCAAAAATATTTACATGAGCCAGTATCCATTGTAAGATGCAGGATCTTTGGGCAGCAATTATTTTGTTTGTGAACGTAACTTTGGCATAAGAATTTATTCATATGCATTATATTGAACAATATCAACTGAGTATTGCTATTCACATATTTGAAGGGTTCCTGTGTAATATTTGCTTATCACATTCATAGCAGTGACTTGTGTTATTCACTTATTTACAGTTCGCTTACACTTCACTTATGCATAGCCTTCCTTATAACTGAATGTGACGCTGAGAAATACAAATCAGTGTGTAGAATTTAAAAGTTATGTGTTCATTGAAAACATGTGAAGTTCACTTTAGACAGAACACCATTTTATATCTGTTTGGCATATATTCTGCTGTCGCATATTCTAAGGCTGGTATATATTCTAAGGCTGTACTTGTTCTTACTTCTAAGGCTCTTGTAAGAACTTCTAAGGCTTCGTAAGGAGGTTCTTGTAAGAACAAGTACAAAGAAAGGGTTAATTACCATTTTATCGTACACGAGAAAATTTACAGTTAGCGCCTCTCAGGGTTACGAGAAGCCTCCAACTGCGATTTAACTGAAGACAGAAAATAAGAAACTAATCTGATGCTAACTGTGTAAAAACTAGCCGAAGGTGCACAGAAATAACTGACAGAGTTGGCCCGTATTTAAAGCTCACTGGCAAATGCTAGCAGGCACGTAGAAATACTGCTGAACATAGTAAGATTTGGCTTAAAAAGTAACGACGTACGTGATCCTGCAAACTCATTCTGGTAGGAAATTGTAGGTCTGAAACAAGAAAATAAGGTGAGCTGCCAACAAATGAAAAATAACTAGAATTATTAGGACATTACTAAAATAATCTCAATAATTGTACAACATTTTTAATAGGGGAAATCTAGAGAGAAAAGGTATTCCAAATCAATTATAATGGGTACGAAGTACTCTGTGGTAAAACTCATGCAGCTTCAGCATGCATGTATGTGTCATAGCGTGTTAATGAATTAGTGATATTTAGAAGAATTATGCGTAAAATCAATTGTCATTATCTTTCTGATCCCACTGTGTAATTAGAACATATAACCAATGTTTTTAAATGTGTAAAATTCCACTATAATAACAAAACAATAAAAAATGTTTTCTTTCAAGTAAACAGAAATTTAAAGTAATTAAATATTTTATAATAGTATGTAATAAGTGCTCATTATTCAAACGTTCATGAAAGAGAATACTAATTATCATACTGAAATTCAATTAATTATTATACTGAAATTCAATTAATTAAGTTTATTTTACTTATATAAGCAAAATAATTTTGACACATAATGGATGTATCTTGTTAATGTAATTAAATAACACTGTATGTATTAAATTATTAATTAACTGTATATTGCATGTGAAAATAGGTATGCTGTGAAATTTCTATTTCTATAATAATATCATTTCCTGAAGTGATATTATATTGGAAATTTCTAAGAAAATTCCTTGTGCAGCATTTTAAGATTTGTCATCAATGCAAATTCCTTTTGCGACAACATGTCATCAGATTTATATTTTAAAATTTACTTTCATCTCTGAATATTACGCTATTGAAACACTGTAAATTATACAGAAACTTGACCACTTCATATATATTTAATTGATTTAGAAGATGTCTTCTTTCTTATCTATGCCATCTTTCGAAGAGAAGGTTTCCGAAGATGTTGCTTTGAAGAAACGTTCGTGTCTGAAAAAGTATATCTCCAAAGTCTTCAAGGAGTCATCTGTTACTGTTGTGTCAAGCATCTTGTGCACTGTTGATAATCGACGAAAGGCTTTCAGGACAATAGTTCTACTAATTTGCCTGACAGGCTTCCTGTACCAATGTATTACATTTCTTGGATATGCTTTCCAGTATCCGACAAATTTGGATATTGACATACAGAAACCAGAGTTTCTGGAAGTTCCAGCTTATACATTTTGCAATGACAATGGGTAAGTGTAAAAGCTCTCATGAACTTAGAACATTTTTATAAATTCTTAGAACATATATTGTTTTGAATATATATAGACGTGTAAAAAAGACAAAAAATAAATGGCATAGACACAAAAATATTCAAATATTTGCATATTCTTGCACCCGTGTTTGCAGTGTGGCTGAAGAAATAATTTTATAGCAGGAAAAGAAAGCAAAATTGGCTAGGTAGTGTTAGGTAATTCATAAAATTTTGTGAACCAAGATTCGTGTTATATTTTTAAAAATGTTTCAGCTAAATAGAAAGAAACAATACACAAGTAACTCATGTAAATAAGTAAATTATTACCTTACATATTTTTTAAACTACCATAAAGCAGTCGAATTCTGGCAACCCAAATAACGCCACGGAAATGACATGCTAATACAAAATTAATTATTTGAAAGAGGTTCGTTACTCGAGGTCGTTCATCATTGCTCTCAGATTTTAACAAAGTCGGAGTCTTGGGCTGGGGATCAGAAGTTTCTGGTTCCAGCCTTTGCTCATCTGATGTTAAACAATAGGCTGGCTTCAGCCTGTCAATCGAAATGTTTACTTCTTTCCCTTTGATTTGTAACAAGAAGTATTTGTCCATTAAGTACTTTGAAAGGTCCTTCATAACTAGGTTCTAATGGTTTCTTCACTCTATCAGTTCTTAGGAAAACGTTCAAAGGAAAGGTTCTTAGGAACACATTCAAATCTCTATGGACAAAAACTTTAGGAATCATTTTTCGCTGTACCGCTGAGGGCTTGAACAATTCCATTTGTTTTTGCAATTTATGCAAAAATGTTTGAGGTGTTGTAGAAACTGTCGGTTTATCAAAATATTCTCCAGGAAGTTTTATTGTTTTCCCGTAAACCATTTGTGCAATGGAATATCCAGAGTCTTCTTTTAAGGCTGCCCTAAGACCTAGAAGAATTATTCGAATGGATTCGGACCACTTAATGGAATTATGACATTTAATAGCAGCTTTCAAAGTTCGATGAAATCTCTCAATTTTGCCGTTACACTGCGGATGATAAGAAGTTGTGTGTTGAATTCTGACTCCACATCAGAAGGTTGCGTGTTCAAATCACGTCCGGGTCACTAATCTTTTAATGTGGATTTGATGAATAAACGAAATCGAAACTGATCAGCCAGAGCATTTTATAAGTGAAATAAATGCTTATTTTGCTCTTAAAATAAAAAGCATATTTATTTTTACAGTTTTCATTCTTGTTTGCAACATGTTACTTATTTTTACATAATATAACAAATTTTTAAGAAATAAAGCTTACGAAACGCTAAAAGTAACTACGTTTTTAGCTCGACTCGTTGTTGCCACATGGCGAATCTTAATAACTATTCAAAACATTACATAATGTTGCCACTTAGGAAATCTTAATAATTATATGGAAACATTAAATTATGTTCCACTACAAGTACGTGAGAATTGAGACATTCACATATTTGTTTGATTCTTGCGGAAGGCTAGAAACATTCTCCAAAAGTATTGGGAAATAAAATTACCATCCTTAACAGTTCTAATAAAACAAATTAAGCAAGAAAGAGATGAATGTAATATTTCAAAATGAGAAATAACTAATGAAAGTTCATAAACCTTAAAAGAAGGTTTGCAGTGGTTTTAAATAACTATAACTTATTATATTTCTTTCCGTATTATGATTCTTTTCATAATAACAGTTTAAGCACTCACGCTGCCTCTTCTTCGTTTAAATGGGAGCTTTTAATATCATTCAAATGAAGGCCTTTTTTTCCGCTTTTCTTTTCCGTTCTTTTTTGAGCCCTTAAACAAGTTTTAGTCGAAGATTTCTAAAGGCTACATATTTAGAAAAATGAACATATCCCATTTTCACATATCAGAAAGGAATAAAAGTGCAAAATTGTGCCTTTAAAAAATGAGATATTATATTTTGAATCAATATTACAAACGTTTCATAGTAAATTATAATCAAATTTTTGGGATTGTTAATTTCGCTATGATTGTCGGTTGCAAAAACATGCAGTATGAAAATAATCTGTATGAATTGTAGGTTTTGTTTTGTGTATTTGAAAAGTGAAAAACCAATAGTGTATTGAAAAATCCGGAAAAAAATGTGTTTCTAATTTAAAATGCATTTTCGTATTTGAAAAACATAAATTATATATTATACAGAATGTTCCTCAATTAGGGGTTTTATGTTAAATGCTGATACTGGACATATATATTTATTTACAAAATTTTTAAAAACAGTACGCGGAACTTTTTTAAAATTTCCCAACACTGAAAATACGAGATTTCTATGAAAATAAAAACCTAGGACAGGTGTCATATAGTGAAATTTTTAACCATTTAATTTCTCAGTAGATTTTTAAATTATAAAAGATAAACTGAACTACTCTTACACTTAAGGGAAAAATTCTTGAAGATAGTCTTATCAAACAATTTCCCCAAATCCACGAAGTTAATTAGATATAAACACGTAAACACAAATATAATAGTGCCTCCTGTAAGGGACACTTCCAAATAAAGGACTCCTCTATTTAAAAGACAGTTCTGTTGGTCCAGGTTCCTTCGAAGGATCCTTGGATCTTTGATCATTACTTTGAAGGTGGTTGGTTCACAGCTTCGTACAGGTTTAACCAGTAATTCAAACTTTCCCTGGATTCGAAGCCAGTCTTAGAACTACCAATATCCAGCGATTTTACCGATTGGTCGCTGGCGGGCCTTTGAGAGAGATGTCTCTCTTATGCATTGCTTGAAACACGTAACCACTCAACAAGCATAAAATTTTAATTTTGTTTATTTTTTCTCCACTGCAGGATTGTGAAAAGCAAATATTGTGCTAAATATCCCGATCACTGTATATTAGCAGATGAATCTATTTGCAGAAGATATCCAAGGCACTGTACAGTAAACAAGACGCTGGTAAGAAATTTATTATAAAACTAAGGGTTTTCTTGTTTTCATGCTATTACTGATAATAACTGTACATATTGGTTAATTGGTTATGAGTGTAGGCACACCCATCGCGCCTTTTTTACTTAAAGAAGAAAAAGGGTGATTACTGATTAAATTTTGTAGTAAATGTAACTCAGGAGTTTTGTATTTTTAATAATTTATACGCAAATTCAAGGGTTTCAGGGGTCTTTTCATAACATTGACATCAAAGTAATACAGAAATTTGATAGCTGTTCAGATTTTAGATTGTTTCTTTTAAATTACTATGAGTCTCTCCTAAAGACTTATACATTTGGTTAAAAATATTATTTAGAACTTACAGATAAAAAGAATTTCCCCTCAATATTCGAAAGGAGTATTTTTGAGTCAGTGCTATAGTAGTGTACCAAAACAAATATCACACTAAAACCAATAGTATAATTCTCCATATGATTTCCATTCAAAGCATATAAAGCTTATGTGTTTGCGTCACGCATAGTGTTTTCTGTAAAATGATAAAGCGCTTATTTTTTTGTGTGCTCTTCGAGGAACACTTTTCTGGTCCTTCAAAAAGGTTTTACATTTAACTGAAATTGGGAAAACATTTTTGAAATCTTCGTTTCAAATCGAATCACATAAATGTTTTGCTTTACATATGTGTATGGTTTTTATGTTGATATAATGCCTACAGTAATAAAACGATTTTACCTTCTTATTGTTGTGTGTGGAAAAAACAAGTTAGTCTGAAATACTCTGAGTTACATATGCAGAGCTCAGTGAAACGGTGGAACTCAAACGGTTTGATACAAAACTGTTATAAAGTTTCCTTAACAGAAACACATGCATATATTAAAACAATGAATTGCCACAAAGCAAGACGTATTCATACATGATCAGATGCGTCAAATTATACCTTCTTTATTAATATTAATTTAGTTTTGTAAAAATCACTCAGCGTAAATGATTTTATAATGCAGGACTTTTCAGTATTAAGAAACGATTGTATCTGCTGATATTTTTTCTCTACAGATAATCATGATTTCATCTTCAGAATGATAAACATTTGATGTACATGATGATTAATTTATGATCGTTTGATGATTAATTCTGATCCTTTATTCAAAGGTTTGAAATTTACTGCTTAATATGAAGTAAAAACTGGAAGAATCTGGCGCCTTCTCTTCTGTCTAAATACCTGATTAAATGGCTACAATAAATAAAGCATTAACCTGTATAAAAAATCTGATGTATACACCACATGACTTCCTTGCAAGAAATATTAAATTATACGCATTTTTTCTTGCATTTCATTTAAAGTTATTGGATTGAATTAAATCTACTTCGCCGACAGCGCATAAACCATAACAGAATAAAAGCATTCTTTAAAATTCACTCTAGTATTTATTTACCATAGCGACACTCTGGCGCTAGATTAGCTTAACAATATTAATAATTATGTAACAGTTAACTTATATAATAATTATATAACGGAAACTAAGTTAACTGTTATATAATCCAATAATTATACAACAGTTAACTTATATATTTCGTTCATATTATAACTCATAATGCACAAAATTTATATAATTTAAAGAATAGAATTATCTAATCGTTGCCACATGTTCTATTCAAATACTGTAATAAAACTAGAATGATATATAAAAGAAATTAAGCAAACAAAACAAAAAAGGAACAGTTTTTCACAGACGATTGAGTATTTCTTGTTTAATTAATTCAGTTCTCACTTCGCGAGAAGGCAAAAATACATAAAAACTCAAAATATTTATATTAAAAATTACGAAGTAAATCTTAAACACTTATTTCTTCGAAAAAATTCCAGAAAGAATTAAGCATGATTTAATTGGCAATAATAAATGAATGCGTTATCTTTGTTGTTGCGAAGCTAAGTTTCTCTAGATTGGCAACAAATCCACTAGTCTCCTGTTTCAAACGTAAACATCAATGGCCGCCATAAAAAAAAAGGTTTAGCGGCACTTAGAGAACTTTAAAATTGTTGATAATTCTAAAAATATTGCGTACAGATTTACTAAAGGCATAAAAAACTTAACCGGAAGATAAAAACAACATAATACAATCATTTTTAAAGCAAATAATGTACAATTTACAAACATATAAGAGTAAAGAAACTGAGATCACTGAGCCGGGTAACAGAGTGGATATATATATAAATATATTTATAGATGTTTGGTGCGGCCGATTGCAACCAAAATACGAAGTGCACATCTACATGTTATAGCAGTCCTACATACAAAATTTCAACGTTCTGAGGCTACTCGTTTTTGAGTTATGCGAGATACGTACGTACGCACGTACGTACATACGTTCGTACAGACGCCACGAAAAATTCTGTTCAGAATTAATTTTAAAGCAGTTTTATAATTTTTTTGAAGGAAAAGAGTATTTTATTCTGTCCTTACGTGCAGATATCACGCAAAAACATCGTTAAATTGCATTCGATAGTGGTCAAAATTGATATTTTCGTTGAAATATGCTGCCTGAAACTTTTCGCGATTACAATACTTCCTTTTTACTTCGTACAAGGAAGTAAAAAGTGAAAAAGTAAAAATAAATTTATTTGTAATGTCCCTTTAAGATTTACCAATCATTATTAGCATATTTTATTGTTTGAAATATTTGCGAGGTTTTATGCTTATTAACTAGTTATCTTATTATTTTTGCCTGTGCTGCCACTTCTGCTTTCGTCGGCTTCTACTAAGACGCAAATTAGTTAATGTTTATGTTGTGTTGATGGTTCAAATGTTATGGGAAACGTTATGTTTGCTATACAAAATAAAATTTCTAAGATTAGTTACTTAGTGCAGATTACTGTGCCCAATAAGCAAGTAAATATCTACAAAAATATACACATTGTGCGTGCAATAATCCAAATATTAAAAATACTGGAATTATCCTTCAACTTATCATTCCATAATATCGAAACTGTTTTACTTAGTACATAGTGCCTGTTGATTTCTCCTATGAGAGCGTAATAAATATAATTCACACATTTTTAAATTTTATTTTTAGTAGCTTTTAAGTCATTTTACTAATTTCTTGATTACATATATTATCTCCATAGTTATACCCAAATTGCCGTTAATGCTTTGGACGTTCTTTACTGTGCGCCACTGCAGAGCAAAGCGCTAGCAACACTAAAGAAGCTTATTTCATCTTCATAATGAATTATGGTGACACTTTGACAAAAATTATGGTGACACCATAATTTTTGTTCACTTTGACAAAATTACGTCAAAGGATTCGTTCTTTAAAGCATATATTATTTTCTCCAAGCACGGAGAAGTTGCTCGACATTACGCCTGCAGAATTTCACACAACAGAAAGTGGCGACCGATAGACAATGCCCGTCGAACACGTTATAAGGTATTTCTACCGCTTTCCTAGCGAGCCTTCGTGGTGTAGTAGTCAGCGTTAATTTAAGCTAAGGAGCCAGTCATTAGAATTTTTAATTTACTAGTGATTTGTTACATTCTTATTTTCTGTTATGTAGCCGCAAATGGTGGTGATTTGTAAGCACGAAGTTTGCGCATCTGTTTTAATTTATATTTAAAAAAAGTTTATTTAAACCTTTCTTTTGCAGTATTTTGTTCTTAAAGGCATAACGAGAATTCGCTAATTAGTCTTCGACAAAGGGGTTTAAGAGTGTATGCTCCTAAAGAATACATGCAAACTCTATAACTCAATAAATTTTGTGGAAAATAAGAACTAATAAATTTTGTGGAAAATAGGAATCTGAAGATTTTCACAACACGTTCTTGCTTATAACGTGAAAAGAAGATGCGGCTTTGGGGACGAGGCGAGGAGCCCGTGCCTTGCAGCGTGCAGTGGAAAAATGTGTCTCAAACTGGTTCATTCAGGCCCTGAGAAATGATTATTTCATCGAAGTCGCAGGATAAAAACTTGCTTTTACACTATATAAGTACCCTCGCCCATTGTGTTTTCCCAGCAAACCACTGATTGGTTGAAAGAAAGTTGATGAACTTTTACAGAAATCTTGTGCAGAGGAATACAAAGCGAATAGGAAATCTAACTACATTTTCGTTTATGTTAAGAACTCAAGAATAATAGACGTGTTTATATTGTTGAATGATAGAAGTGAAAATGTTTAGTGAAATTCCTTATCACACTTATCAGTTGCCAAGCGAACGGAATGTTAAAGCCATAATGAAAAATCTGCCTGAGAAAGTACTGAAAACGCAATCTACGCTAACCTAGAACGACGAAATTTCCTGATAATAAAAGTGGAACAATTTACAAGATCAAGGAGATAAATTACAGAGAAACTGCCGATCTACTTCCTGGTGCTAAAGAAAAATAAGGAAGTAAAAGTTATTTTGTACCTAAACAACATATTCAGAGTAAAGTGAAGACTAAAAAATTCTCCCCAAAGGAAAGGCCTACCCAGTGCTACAGGTGTCAGGCCTACGGACACACACAGCATATCTGCAAATATCAAGAACGCTGCTACAAGTGCGGCAAAAACCATCGTACAAGCGACTGCCCAAAAAAGCCGGAAGAAAGATCCACCTGCATTTTCTGCGGAGATGAGCATGTGAGCAACTACCGAGGATGTAAAGCCTATGAAGAGAAATTTACTAAGAAAGAAAATTTAAAGAAAGCTCCTCCTCCCATATCAAAAAGTACGGATTTCTCGAAGCTGATAAACTCTGAAATAGAAATCCCAATCAAGACGTGTAACTCTTCTTACAAGGACAGAGTTAAAGGAAATCATAAGAAAATATCCTCCCCTCGTAAACAGGAAAATATCTCCCTAGACGAAGCCTTAAACTGGATGTTTGACAAGAAAATTTATGAACGCCTAGAAAAAATCATCTCGTGCATAGGAAAAAATTAAAGAAGCTAAATTCCCCGTGGAGAAATTAATCGCCGGATTTGAAGCTCTAAAGATTATGATTGCCTTCGCGGACTCAAATTAATTCAAGAAAAAGACTCATGTTAGTGTGATTAGTGCAATAATTTAGGGACAATTAGACCGCGGGTTGAGCCCCAAATGAACTTCTCTTAATGACTGCTTTTGCATGAACTTTACCTTCTTGAACTAAAATTCAACATGAATTTACTGCTAATCACAAGCTTCCAGCTTTTCTATGCTAGACAGATTGCCTGCCCTGCATGAACTTTGTCCATTTTTGCCTGCGGGTGACCAGCGTGATTACGCCCTATTTTTCTACTATCGTGATAGGCCTAAACGGCAGATTTGTACGAATTGGTCAGAACTCTCAGTAGCTGATATCAAAAAGGAGAGTGATCAGTTTAAGTGTCAATATAAATATAAGTGCAGATTCAGAGTTTAAAAAGAAAAGTTTTTGGTAGCACTGGTTAAACCGTCTTGAGTCTTGATTCTTTCCCAGCTTTCGAATTTAGTTCAAGTTGGCTTTAGGTTTGTTAGCCGTATTTATTTGGAATGACAATCCGATTCACATGAGGGTACGTTTTGTATTATACATCTTATATTTTAATACTTTAACATTGTTTCGCTTAATTCCGCAAGCAGCGGAACCTTTAATTTGTTATTACACAGACTGTGCAAATTATTATATTGAAGAACAGAAACTTTAGTTTTAACCTTCTTACTTTATTGAACAATAAAAAGGGCGCGACAGTTGTCTAACTTGATTCACGAAGCCAGAGTTAAAATTTAATGTAATCAAATTCCGTACATATTTAAGGTTGATTTATTAATTTCTCGTAGTGAAAAGAATTGCATTAAATAGTTTGTTTCTTTGTCTTTTAGAGTATGGTCTGTCTAGTCACTGTGAATTTGAATCAGGCATTTAATGGAAAAGTTAGTATGAGATTTCGCAAAGATAAGCAGTTAGGTAGATGGTCACAAGAAGAGTTTTCATGCTATCAGAAGAGTTTTCATGTTAAAAAATATTTATATAACACCTAATTTAGAGTGACAGTCGTAACATTCTCAACAAAATAAAGGTATTAAAAGGTGGGCCTAATAAATGCGTGAATGGTGCACAAACCAATATGTTTCAAATATTTTGCACAATTTCATAAAATTTAGCATAGAATATTTATTGATTATGCGCAAACCAATAAATATTCTATGATAAATTTTATGAAATACTTGTTTCGTGTAAGTTCTGAACTAATAAAAATTCTGAAATTCTTTCAGGTTCCTAAAAAGGAATACTATTTTGTCGATTTAAACATTACGCTAGATGACGTCAAAGAATTAGGGCAGAATCTTACCGAATTTCTTGTGAGATCAAACGGATTTAAGTAAGTATATTGACTTTCCATTTCTTTGCTTAGGAAATAATAACTTTTACACTCTTTGCTTTTCATTTGAGATTTGAGTTACGGCAATTGACGCTTAGTGTTTTTTATGTAATAATAACGAATTATTCTTGTGCTCAGAAATAGCTGCCCTTCTGGTATAGCCTTGTTCGAGACCAACCTAAGCCACTGCATATTAGAAGAAGAGTCAATTTAATTAAGACACAATAACACGCCGAATAAATACTAATTCAGAAGTCAAACAACAAAAAGAAGACAAACAACAAATGAACAAGATAGGAAATAATGATTAGATAAGATAAGGCTTTCTTATCTTATCTAATCATTATTTCCTATCTTGTTCATTTGCGGTTTTGCAGCTGAAGATGATGGTTCGGTAAAACCATCGAAACTAGTCCTGTGAAAATTTTGTAGGTATAACGCTGATTTTTGTTGTTTGACTTCTGAATTAAGAGTCAATTTAGTTAAGTAATTCAATAAAATATACAGTTACGGTCCCCCACATCGTACTTTGTTGTATCTCCAAATTTGGCACAACAATCGAAGACTCAAGAAATACAGCCCTTTTAGCTTGGCAGAAACTCAGAACCTGATCTCTCGGAAGGTTGTACCTCTTCTCTAAGATCCTTTATTGATCCCTCAGTGGGACTACCGAGAGTTTTCTTTAACTTTGATCTGAAATCCATTGCAAACAAGCAAACTCACCATGAAGACCTTCTTAGGCAACTGCCTCTGAAAATTATTAGTTGCATTCCTAAAGATGCAGTGCAGGTCTATACTGATGGTAGTCGCACAGAAAATCGTATTGGCAGCGGTATCTTCATTATGACCCCTCACTTTGAAACTAAAATAAAGCAACGCAACCCTGACACTTGATCCGTCTTTAGAAGCGAGTTAATTGCGAGTAATTTGGGTCTTGATGCAATTTTGGCTTATGATTGTGATTTTGGGGAACTATGGATTTTATCGTACAGCCGCCGTGCACTACAACATGTTGGTGGTTGGTCGTCTGCATGAGATGAAACCAGCATATCTATTCTGCTCAAAATGAGGGTGATCTCTCAGACCCACGAAGTTCACCTCCAATGGATTCCACCACATGTTAATATTAGTGGTAATGAGGTCGCTGATAAACTGGCAAAAGAGGTAATGAAAATGAAACGGTCACTGGCTCCTCACTTACTTACCAAGAACTTTACTCAAATGAAAGAGGCTAACAAGTGTCGACCTTAAATGTCTTTCCTTTGATAGTGGCAGAAAAATCCACCCCGCTCGTAAAAAATGCTGTGACCATACAGCTTCACCGTATCACATACTGGGTTGCATCGGACTTTCTAAGGAGGACTTAACATCCGATCCCCTCACTGTTATTAATTTTTTTGACTGTCAACAACCTTCTGGAGCTGATCTGACATATGCCAGATATTTCAAGGATAAGCAACAACAACATATAATAATAAATTCCTCTAACTTGGTTAATAAGATTTTCCCAAAAATAATTGCTTATAATATTATCTTGTAGGATGGAATATTTTTGACAAAATATTGCCATCAAGATTGCTCAAAAAAAAAAAAAAAAAAAAAAAGTAACGAACAGTAACAAGTTTCTAACATGATTTGTTTCTTACCACATCTGTATAAGCATCACAACAGCTAACTTGTTTACTATCACATCTGTATAAGTATCCCATGTGCATATTTTTATCTCTTAACTATGCACATTCTCTGAAAATATAATTTAGTGAAAATATTCAAATACTACTGCACGGGGAAACGGGAATATTGCTATAATATACAGACGCTATTCGTACATTTTAGACGACTTTAGTCTGCTATTAAAACGTCTCCTGCTTTGAAAACATTTTAAATTCAACTCTGTTTCTGAAATGTTATTTATCGTCTACTACTTGAGAATTTTGTTTTCATGCAAAATGGCGCTTTTAAAGAATTAATGGACAGAAGACTATGTTTGTGCTCTTTTCGAAGATAATTATTCGCATTTAGTTTTTAAAATCTGCTCTGAAACTCATGACTTTTCAGTATCTAAACGATAGATATTATTGTCAATAAGAAAGAAAAGAAAAAACTTCAAAGTTTGGCTTCAAGGAGAAAATTTGTTCAAAATACATATCCCCCCCCCCGAAAAAAAGAAAAAAATGTTTCGAATGAAATAACTTTAACCGTTTGAATGAAATAACTTCAAATCAACTTTAACCGCGTGCTTGTCACTTTGAGGCACCCTGAATAACAGCACCCTACTGAGGTGTTAAAACACAAAAGCTGATGTATCGCTTAAAGAAACATTTTTTCTCTCTTTAACCCACTTCTTGAAACTTACCACAAGATATGTGTTACCACTAGGAGTTTGTTCTCATCAGCAGCCATAGATATGAATGTAGGTTTAAGGAATTTAAAACTAAAAGACGCATTTTTTTAAATATATAAATAACTTTAAGTGCAATATATCACAAATCATTTTATAAATGATAAAACTATTAATAATGATAAAATGAAAAATGCCTAAATTAAAAATAATGTTTTACACTATATATATATAAATAATGTTTATTTGAGAGAATAATTTCATAGTAAAATTGTAGTATTCAAAACTCGTATCCCTCTCATCTAATCCTATGTATTTCAGGTTTTTTTCGATTTACATCCTTTAGCAAAAAGAGTAAAATCTATCACAATCTACTACAATGTTTAAATACAGTTTTTAATTGCCGAGTAAAAGCTTTGTTCTCTAAAGTAAAAATAATTGCCTTAGCTAAGAATGCTATATTGCCTATTTGAAAAACTCTTGAAAATTATTTTCTTTCTCTTTTTTATTTGAGACACTATAATAAACATAATCTTCGAATTATTTTTCATACATTTTTGTGTGCTTCATTATCCATTTATTTTCTTCATATGAAAAACAAATATTTCTTTAGCTCAGATATTTAAGGTTCATATTTAAAATTGAAGTTATTTCATTTGAAATATTTTTCAGCATTATTGTATTTTTTCTACAGCACAGAAAATTTTGATTAAGTGAATGTATGAATAGGAACCGTGAGATTACATTTAAAGTTGAATTTTGTTACTTGTAAAAAACGAATTTTTTTTAAAATTTTAAGTTGCCAAAACCTGAATATTTTGTTTAAATAAAGTATCTCTAACTGGAAGTATATGATTAAGATCAACGGTTACGAAAATACAGGCCGTATAAGAACTTTTAAGCGGTGTAAGGTGGTAGGTATATACATAAAAATTGAGACTAAAGCTTTTTAGACATAGGTTATTTAATCCATTAAAAATTTGTCGCGCAAAGTTTCAATTGTCTGTTTCGGCGAAACGCGTAATGGGGTTAGCTTAGTTCGAGGTTCATTTTAAAGAAATTTCCCTTGAAGAGCCAAATGAAATTCGAATTGGACTAATTAATCATTTTCCGCTTCTTAATTTTAATATATTTTGTTTTTTACCTTGTTCAATTGATTAGTATTTTTCTGTGTTTATAATTAACTTTTTATTGAGCATATAGCCAAATATTTTACCAAGTTCAATTGATTTTTTTACTTTGTTAAAATTCCTAATTAGTTTAGCAAGTAGTTTTTTATTAATTTTAAAAAAAATTCTCCTGTTCACACTTTTCATAGATAATAAATATGTTAATTCAACTTGTTAAATATTCAAATATTTTTTTTTTCCTCTTTCACACTTTTCATAGTAACTAAATATGCTTATATTGGAGTTTTCTCGGAACCACAGTTTTTGGTAACTTTTTGGAGAACTTCTAAAATTTATCTTCTAATTTCCTTAATTTTGCAGCACAATGCGCAAAATTTTGACCTAAATTGGTCTTTTTTCGTTTGTTCTTACAACCTTACTTATAATAATATAGATATATATATATATATATATATATACAATTATCAAAGATTGAAGTAAATATATTAATTAATTGTAATAAATTGGCTAATACTTGAGCAAAAGCTGCAAAGTCATAAAATAATAATTTATTTACTAATGGATTATTTAGTATATTATATCTTTTGAGAAAGTTAGTAGAATTTTAGTTGAATGCAGTAACTTACAAGCATATTTAAAAATGAATCTTGAAAATTTGTTTCTAAAATGAAAAATCAAATATGGAACATGAATAAATTGAAAATGGAAACTTCTAAATATGAAAAACTAATCAACAAACCAAATAATTATCGTCATTGACCGGAAATTGGTTGACTTTGCAAGGGGAACAAACCAACCCCGAACAATTAACAATAATTTGTAAATGCGAAGGTTTTTCGTCTTGACGCACCACGACGCACCGAGAAGATATAAAGCAAATTGGACACAAATTGATATGCATACAGGTTTCGCAGGATATTGAAGAGGAGAAATTACGATTCCAGATCACAAATTTTTCACGAATTTCATTCCGTGTACTCTGGTAGACAGTAACTATGCCTCGCATACAGGTGCGCGAACGATATGCGCAGTGCAGAATTTGAGAAAGGTCATGTAGTGGGGTGAAAGAAGCCGGTTGGTCTTACAGGCGAATAGCTCGACATTTGAGCAGGAGTGACGCCACCATTAGACGATGTTGGCAGGAATGGGTGAACCAAGGCCGCACACAGGGTCAAGAAAGAAGCGGTAAGCCTAGAGAAACGACAGAACGTGAAGAACGAGCAATCGTCAGAGCGGCACTCAAAGCCCCAGATGCATCATTGTCATCGATTGTACGTGCAACTAGTGACCGCAAGGAGCATTCATAGACGGCTCACAGAAAGGAGGCTGAGGTCACGGCGCCCCTTGCACCGACTACCATTGACCTCTGTACAACGTCAAGCCCGTTTGCAGTGGTGTCGGGCTCATTCGCACTGGAATGTCACTGACTGGAGTAGAATAGTCTTCAGTGATGAGTCCCGCTTTGAACTGAACCCCGATGACCAGAGAAGGCGAGTCTGGAGACGCCCCGGACAGCGGTGTGATACCAA